AAAATATTGGAAAATAAGATAATCATCATCCAAGATAAATTACACTACCAAAACTCAATATTGAAACTTGATATAGACCATGGATCAAATGAGAAGTGGTAAGTAATAATTCATAGGAAATTACATCATCATTTTTCAATGGGAATATTTACGTATATCTCATGAGTTTTTTCGTACAAACAAATACATGTTTCACAACACTACTCTATACTTACGACTTGACTCTTCATGTATGAAAAATGGCAAATATAATCTCCGAAGTTTTTCTTCAAAATCAAGCAGGTGAGTTATCCTAAACAGGGTAACTTGAAGAGGGGACACTTTTCTAAATGGGATAATGATATGGGAAATGATAATTATGATTTATCTAAGGCAATTACAGATGATTCTATAATAAGAAATGATAAACACGTCCGAATGGTTCCATTCATCCTATCATATTATAAATTATGGCGGATTCGCCGGGGACTCAGAATTGTATAATATCAAGTATCTTGTTTCCTTTTTTCTTATCTCGAACGCTTAAAAAATCGTCTTCTGACAAGACAATAGATCGGGTCATCTTGGTCGAGACAAGACAAGAAAGTCATCTCTTAACAAGATAGGACAAGAGAAGTCGAGAGAAAAGTAGCATCATGAACAGCTCGCCAAGAACCATTTAATTTTTATCCTCGATACTAAACGAAAAATAATAATAGTATTTGCAATTGCTATTGGATGTTGTATCTGCTGCTTCTATCTGGCTAGTAGTAGACTAGTAGATCCAACAGGAACCTGTTTGTTTCTTCCTTGAGTTTGGAATGTTTCCATAGCGCTTTATATGCATGAAATGATGTAATGTAATGTTTGCCCCTAAACACACAGTGTAAATACTTCAAACGTATAAAACCAGTGAAATACTAAAAAATTTCTTTGGATGCCCGAAATAACCACTCAGGGAACCAAAACAACAAAAACTTAGGCAGCAAGTTTTCGATATACAGTGTACGTAACATCAAGCTTCTATTAGCAGTGAAATTACCAAAAAAAATTCGTATGGAGTTTTAGATTACAATAAAATGGGTTTTTTGGGATATAATCCAATATAAAGAGTGTCTAGTAAAAGTGTGGTGTACCGCAATTGATTTTTTCTTAAATGGAATTGTATATTGTACCAAGAAGTTAAGAAGTTACGTCAAAAAGTTGATACTCTTATTCAACCGTCCGCATTTTCAATGCAAACTCAATGTAGCAGTATTTTTTGCTTTGGAGATGTTTTGAAAATGTGAGTTTTTATTATTGAACTAGAGACACGCCCCGGCTGCGCACGGGTGCAATGCTGATATTAAATATTCATATAAACGCGTTCGATCGCTCCTAATCATAAAGGGCGAAGCGCGGCCTTTGACGCACCATTGAAAGATACGCGCCGCTGGCCTTCTGGCCGGCACCGCCGTAACCGCTATGTCCCTGCATTTTAAATCTGTACCTGATATCTTGGAAAATATTCATTTAAATTACATGATGCAAAAGGTCATATTGATCTATATTAAATGCACAATGTATTTAAGATACTTTATTAGATAAGAATTAATGCTATAAAGTCGAAATAAACGATATTGTGCACTCTTAAAGTTGGCGGCACTCTTGAAGGCCAAAAAAAACAAAACATAGAAATGAACCGGCTCCGAACTAGTCCACGTGGTCTGTAGAATTGGCAGTTCGTATCGGATAATTTTTACTAACCGAGTTTCATGATTGGTTGAAGAGTCATGAAATTAAATTTGAAGTGATGTTATGGTGACGAATAGAAATCGGTGAATGTGGGGATGGTTATCGCCGTCGTGCCAGTTATAATTACTTTAAATTTTTGTTATCTGTTTAAAATGTGGCATACTAATAGTAATAACGAGTGTGATAACAATGTAGACTTTTTCCAGTGTAGTGATTCCAATAGTGATGGTGAATAATGCGAAAAAGAGATACCAGTGAATAAGAATCAGATGCATTTGAATATTGAAACACAGAGTATGTTTCAAGGAATATAAGAATCTACATCTCAAGTTTGGTTTCGAGGGAAACAAACTATTACAAGCAACATCAGATTTGACCGAAACTCCTTTCTCAACTGTACGTAAAATAGTCAAAAACAAATCTTATGAACGCAAGACGCGATGTGATACAGGATTACCAAAACCTTTAGATGTTCATCTAATAAAATCATGGAAAAAAACAATATAAGTACGACTGTTACAAAAGCAATGAGATTCCTACTACTGAAATCATGAGAAAGAAATTGAATACTTCCGGCCATAACGTGAGCTGCTGAGACACAACTATTCAGAATTGGATAAAGAAACTAGGATTTAGATTTAAAATAATAAACAAACTTCAATAAGTTTTGGAAAGCAGAAGAATAGTGGAATTGCGTAACAAATACTTAGAACAAATAACTAAATACAGACAAGAACAACGGCAAATTTTCTATTTGGACAATCTTGGTATGACACTCACGACACAGTTACGAAAGGGTGGACTGATGGTTCAAGAATGTGTACGCCTAACATGCCTGCAAACAAAGGATCGCGACTAATATAGCTCCCTAACTATATTATTAAAGGGAGCTGTTGGAAGGTAGGTTACACTATATCGTTAATTTGAAATATACCTATTGCTTAAATTCGCTACGTAAAAAAGTAAAGGATGACTTACGTTAAGATTAAGTGTATCGCCTGTCACTTGAGTAAAACGTTTTGTGTGTTTCTAAATAAGATTATCCACAGATAAATGAATGTACTTATACAGAGTGACCCTTATCAGCATCTGCATCAACATTTTACGGAAACGCAAAGAGACGCAAATTTTTTCATTGAAGTGAAAAACTCTTTTCCGGCATTTTTGACTCAGCCATTTTCATCCCCAAGACGGTTAACAATCAACCTCAACAGCCCTTATGTGTAATTTTAAAGACCTACTGAGTCATCTGAATGTTCAGTGATAACCTGCTTCCATACAATAATAAAGTTTTGGAAACAGTATCGCACATTTCAAGGGGATACAGTGAGTCGACGATAATAGTCGACAATTTTCGTTTTGTATTATATTGTGCTGTGGTCAGCAGTTCGAACATTTTACCTCACATTTACCTGTTTAAGATTATACTTTCGAAAATATTGTCATTCCACTAATAATCATAAACTACATGCTAAATTGCAGGAAGCAAATAAAAGTGTCTGTTTTCTGTATTCTGTATCTATATTTCGTAACATCATCAATCGATTAAAAACCTCTGTCATTTCGACCAAATTGTTTCTGCATTTCGAAAATTTTCTTTCGAATATGATTTATTTATTTTTCTCGCGATATTCAAATCAAGGTTTTGTAAAAGTTCATTTGATAGTATTAGTTTAAAATGATTTATAACATGTTGTATCGTTTTTACAAACTCCATAGCAACAGCGTTTTTGTTCCTTTTCGGATAGGTAGTTATAGTTATTTATGTATCAAGGGAATTAGGAGGGCCTTAATTACCGATGGCAAAGTTTGCGTCCCGAGGACCTCTGGCCCGAGGGACAGCAATTGCCTGAGGTTATTAAGGCTCATTAATTCCCGTGGTACATAGATAATTTTATTTCTGACCGATTTCAATAAAATTTTGTTCATTTTTGAAACGGAAAAATGTACCAATTCATTACCTTCCCGGTATATTTGAATCAGGTACCGTTGATTATAGTAGAGTTTTCTTGTTGCTAGGTTGTTGCTATGTTACTTGTTTATAAACAGAACTTTGTTATCAAGCTGTGTTTGCGGTGAAAACGTGTTTTCTACCCCAAATATAATGGAGGATATTTTGAAAAAAGCTGAACAAGCAAGAGAATCATTAATTCCATCGAAAAGTGAAGCCGTATACCAAAAAGAATACAAGATATTTCTGGACTGGCTGACACGGAAAAATGTTATGCCAAAAGATGTCACTGAAACTGTATTTCTGGCATATTTTCAAAAACTGGTAAGGAATTTTCTATGAGAAATAAAACGGCGCGTATGTTGTCTACTTTGTCATCAGAAGAGGCAGGTACCTCGACTGTAGTGAACAGAAGCTCCAGCCATACAAAAGAAGAAATTGTTTCCAGTGGCGGAAGTAATTTTCAGGGAACATTTCAAAATTGTACATTTATTATTTGTAATGACGTGAATAAATAAAATATGGTTCAGTTTTCATTTCTATTTATTTTTACTTGTGAAAGGTAAAGGGAATTATAAAATCAATAATGTCCCAAGGGAGTTATGACCCTCTTTATTGATAGCGTAACTATGACGATATAAGCTTATAATATCCCGGTCATAAATACATATTATAATAGTTTCTTAAAATTTTCTTTTTCAACTACTTAGAAAACTTATTATATTACTATTTTCTAACTTATTTGAATAAGATGTGATTCCTTTGATGTTTTTTTTCGTTTTTTATTTGTAGGTACCTACTCGGAAATTTTAACACGTTTGTTTACAAGAAACAGCACGAAATAGATGTCTGATGCTGACGCATGTGCATATAAAAATTCTGTCATGAAAAGGTCTCAAAAAACAGAAAGAAGTGCAACCTTTCAAAAATCGACGTTTCCTCACTTTTTCCTATACAGTTACTGATAACGGCTTGTTTTGTTCAGCAACCCAATATATTTATAATTAAACACAATATTTCAAAAAAATGCTGTGTACTTCCTGTGTACTTATTTGTTGTTCACCAGCCTTTTTCGAATTATTTTTATGTGCTTTCAGAAAATATAAATGGTGACAAGAATCCTCTTTCAAAAGCCGCGATTCTTGTCCTCGCACGTCACTGTCACCGCATCACACTTAGCAATCCCAGAAAATAATCACAAATAATTTATTCATAAAACGATCGTAGAATTAAGTAAAGGTCAAAAAACATCCGGTTCACGGAATTGCATTTCAAAGGCATAATGACGAAATTCCTGACAGATAAAAAGGCGAGATTGAAAGCGACAAAAACTCACCTTCATAACAGAGTGCTATGAAATCCTCTTCAGTTTGTCGTTCCACGTCCCATCGAAGCAGCCAACTTCCGTTTTCGGTTTGTTTGACAAATATCTTTCCAAGGCAGGCTTGATTCCCATTTGAATGAATTTGACTGTTGGGGGTCCTTCTCAGAGAAACGTGCCCCGGAATATCCTCGCCTTCAATCAGGGGGTCGTGATAGGGAGGAGGGTTTTCCTTGGGGGTGCATTTTAAAAACTGACAGGAATCTTCGTCCACGTCTTCGGACGTTGGACTAATATTTGTATCGCAATTTTCGTCAGTAACCGGCGGCTCGTCCATTTTTTCATCTACTATAATTTACTATTTTTTAAAAGAAACGAATCTGTGGAATTGGACACTGAGATGGTCGTCATGACGACAGACATAGAGGCGACTCTCACGAATGAATTAACGTCGGAGTTTAGCATGATTTTACGTAAAAGTTTATGAAAATAACCGATCACCAGTTATAATTGGGCCTAACTGAACACTTTTGGTATAAAAAATCACCATTTTTTTCATAGAAATCGATGAATTTTAAATAAAAACCCTCCCGTTCAATAATTCATGTATACAACTCACCGACCACTACAAAAATTATGTTAATTTCACACTCGTTCGATTCACCATTCACGTTAAGTTTTAATATTTTCAATCATAACAAATTAATAAAAATTGTACACAAACAGCTGATTTGACAGCGAATACACCTGCTGAGCGCTTGCGCAATTGCACACAGCTATGGAACGGGATTTAGGATAACCGTACAGTACAAAGCATCATTGAATGATTAAAATTTAAAACCAAAATGTCATGATTACTCAGCTTTGAATCCAGATTATCCAAAAATAATGAATATGTTCTGAAATATTGTCCTTGAGTATTACTATTTGCATAATGACCTAGAACGAGAAAAGCAAACATAAAAATATATTTGTTTCCATATCTTGAAATTTTGAAGCGGCAATTATATGCGTCAAAAGGTTCGCCAAGTTTAGCGATTGTTTATGACATTGATTAAATCAGGATGGTATTGAGAACTGTAAGAGGTTGGTGACTATATTTTCACTATTTCATATTGATATTTCATCCAAATCTCTGATGTGCAGCGCAAAATTTGACTAGTTGACTGTAATCAGTTATTGAAGGTAGAATTAAAAGTTAATGGAAAAATAATCAGGATTCAATTAACGCATGAATAAATTACTATATATGATTGTATTTTTCTACTACTAGTGATGGTAAGAATATCTGTATCTATAAAGTAGTAGACTATAGGATAGTTTGTTCAATAACATATCAAATACTCTTGAAGAAACTATATATCGTATAATATGTTGTAGTTTTATGAACTATTTAGTGAAAATCTCACAATGAAGTGTATGAGCCAATTCCACCACATAAGCCAGAATTCCCACTGAATCACAAATCAAAATATTTCTGATTTTTTAAATTGTAATAAAATATAATAGTCACCTGGAATTTGTCATATATAGTTGAAGATTAATTTTCAGCTCGTCAATCAATATTGATATAAAGATTTTTTAGCTCTGAAAACTAAAATAGTTGACATCTCCGAAATTTCCATAATTTTTGTTAACTATTACCCCAAATGCAGGTATTAAATGCAATAATATATACATCATTAAAAAAGGCCAAAACGCTAATCGAGTTGATAACATAAATAATATGTTTTTAACCAAAGTCTGTTTGAATAAATATATACATTCCATAACAAAAATATTCATATCCCTTGTGGAAAACAAATATGTAACTGCCAAAGACTACCGGAGAAATCATATAAAATTTCCATATAATTGAGAATAATAACTGAGCCATCCTCTTTATCATAGTCATATGACATTAGCCATAGTCTTTATTGAGCTGGCTGACATCTATTGTCAATATTTATAAGCTCACAGAATAATTTCCCTTTTCAAATATAGAAATCTTTATCGAAATTAATTTTGTTATCACTCAAAATACAATTTACATCAAATGCAGGAAGAAAGACTGAAATTACCGGTAAGAAGTATTAATAATCGAGCATTCTTATAAGATTCAATTTTTAGAAACCGCAAAATTATCATAATAATAAAGTACTGGTAGGAAACTGGTTTGAAGAAGAGTGTTCTTATCAGAAAAGCAGATTCAAGCATACTTCCAAGTATTCAGATGATTTTCAAAGGAAACCATACACCACTTATCCTCCGTCAGTGGTGTGGGATGCCCATATAAAAGCCGAGGTGACAAAAATATAAAAAAAAAGCAAAATAATACAGAGTTTTTCCTTTAGGGGCATGCTTTCTATCCAGAGAAATCCAGTGAAGAATTTCCAAACTTCCATGATAATTTCGCCACAGTTTATGATTTGTCCTTTGAATACTTTCCAAAACTATATAGCAAAGAAATTGATAGAGTTCACATGTCAAGACTTCAAAGATTTGACCCTACAGAAGAATACCTTAAAAGCTATGTAAGAAACAAAATTTAGTCATAATTATACACTTATTTTTTTGCTATACAGGGAAACATTAGTAATTTTGGATTAACCGACTGCAAAAAACAAGAATGGGATTGTGACAAGCAGGATCCAAGAAGTACCTCTCTCACTATGTATGATACTGAATTTCCTTCTCCAAAAACTGAATTCTACAAGTTCAGTCGATGGTAATTCACACTTGTGAAACATGTACATTTGTTTGAATAACTATTATTTGAAGGACTCGACCTACAGCAGTGAAATCCCAGTTTGGACCAGTTCATAGACCTTATCCGGCTAATCATCCTCGCTTCTCAAAATGCAACCCCATAACGTGGGAGTGTAAGGGTGATCTCTTCCAAAAATATTTGTAATGAAAATAAATACTCATTCCATAGGTTCAAATCATCATTTCATATATGCAATTACTTGAATGTAGATTATTTTGCATAATAAAATTTATAGTACCAAGAATGATTGACACCTTTTCGAAGATTCAGACCCCAGCTTCAGTTGCAAGACTAATGCTTCTCCCTATTATCTGAGATTCAATTAAGTTGCAAGGTATCGCAGTTTTATGCAAAGTTTAGTTTTGTGTATAGGTTTGAAATTTTTTGGTTTTTCTTTCAATGTATACTTCAAACTTTTGTTCATTAGAGTTAGAAGGGTCATAATAAGACTGACTGTCCATGGATAGTTTCTGAAAGATATTGACTTATTACACATCTCCCACATTTCTACCAAAAAAAGTTACAGGTAGAAATAGGAACAAAAGTCGATACTCAAGCTACAAAAGTGGCAATAGTAAAATATTCTTTTATTCTGAAGTAAAACATACACAGTATTATTGTCTACCTAGGTATCTATCTGAAACAGACGTCAATGCCTACAAAAACAAACCAGGAGCTCAGAAGCAAGAACAGAACCAAAATGTTCTTTTATCATGGAGTATAACAAACCCATTACTTCTGTTGGAATTACATTTACAAAAAAAGTGTGAATATGTTGTAGAATTATTAACTTCCTAGGTTTCTACCTAAAACAGACGTTGATACCTACAAAGACAAATAAGGATAATAGAAGCAAAAACAAAATGTCCTCTAATTTTGAAAAATCTCGTTTATAAAAAAAAAGTTGGAAATATGCTGCACAGTATCTTCAATTTCCTAGATTTCTAGGCATCACTTCTGTATACATGAAAAAGTTGGAAATATGTTAAGCAGCATTATTGACTCCCTAGTTTTCTTCCTAAAACAGATTTCAGTGCCTACAAAACAAGTCAGGAGTACAGAACCAAAATGTGTTATTTCAAAATAAAACGGAAGCATTACTTTTTTGGAATTTTATTTAAAAGCTTTGTGTTATTGATATATTATGTTTCGAAAAGCCTACATAATATAAGAAAAAGGAAATGAAAACAACAATTCTCAACACATTATTTATTGTACATAGTCCAAAACCAGTAACTTGGGGTAAAAATTGTGGCAGTGTTTGTTTCCATCATTAAATTGAAAAACTTCACTGTCCAGTTTTACTTGAAAACATAAATTTTCATCAAGTATTGGCCAATTTCATCAGACAGTGGCAATCTTACAATAAAATGTTACTTGAATCCTTCGTTTATACATATTTCAGGGTTCAGAACGAAAAACATTTTTGATGAAATACTTCACAGATCTTGTGTGACGAATTTTAAAAAGCGTCAAAGTCATTCATGCAATGATAAAGTGATATAAGTAAATACATACGTATACTGTATATATGTCAAAGGTCAATAAATATTATGATGCATGAGTAGATATGGTTTGGAGAGTGAATCCTTTAGTTTTTAAAAATATTCTATACCTGGCTCAGTCAGGAATATTCTAGAGATTAAAAATTATTTGTTCGACTGATGTTCTATTTATTTTGTAGAAATTCATATTGAATATAGAATAAAGAAAATAACTTTTGTCTGATTTCAACTAAATTTTGTATTTGTTACGACCGGTTTTATTAAAAGCAAACATAAGTCCAAATATCATTCTAGGATCCAATGTAGTTTTTTTGCCACATAAATAGTCATTATTAAATGTTTATTATTATGAAACCATTTTTCATAAAGTATTTGTTTATTTGCTCATTTACTTAACAAGTCATTTTGTGTGTTCTAGGACCTTTTTGTTAAAGATGTCTTGTTTATTCTCATCGATTTGTATTCAAAACACACTTTAATGTTTACAAAACCGCGACATGTGTTTCGCTATACAATAGCATCTTCAGGCGTCACAATACTAACTCCTGAAGATGATTCAGGCGTAAAAATACTTGCGCCTGAAGATATTATTGTATAGCGAAACACGTGTCAAGGTTTTTGAATATGTTATAATGGATTTTCATCAAGTATCGGTCAGTTATATCATATTGTTCATTGCTTGGATTTAAAGAATTGATTCACTCATTTAAGAACTCGTCATTCAACACACACATAAAAATAAGATATTGAACTAAAGCCCTATTAACATGCTCTTTTGGTAAGTTATGTGATGAGAAAACATTAATTTGAATTGTATCAGTCTTGAGTTGTATTGCAAATAAGAGAAATAAGTCAGTTCAACCCATGAAGATTTTTGTCCGTATGATGCTGTCAATTATCAGAAACATGAATGACTTGCCCAGATAAAAATAAAACATTTTAAAACTTCCCGTTATATATTACATGGTCGCAAAAATAGTCTGTTTTACTAACTATAAATTGGTGAATTACTGACTATAAAGACATTTACATTATAACTTAAAAAATTAACCAAACGGCTTACAACATTCTTAACCTAAATGAACCATTGAAAGAGTTAACAAGTGCCCCAAATATAAATTTTCATTATCTTAAGTGTATAAATAATTTTAAAATGATCACAAATATCTCACAGAAAGTTACATTCAAACAAATCGAATAACAATAAATATTTTTATATGTGGGGCATATACATAATCAATTTAAAATAAAGACTAAGCAATAATTACCTTCAATTAAAATAAATAGATGTAGTTCAATAAAAAAATATTGCAATTCGTTAATTTCTTAGTCTTCAGATTAACGCTACTTATCGTTATGTTACATAAAACTTCATAAAGAGAAGTAAGATATTTACTTGAATTATCACACTGTAATTATTTTCGCGTGAAAGAAGACGCAAACTTAACAAAAATAAATAATAGAAAAAATGAAACAACCTCTTGTAGCGTAATTGAAACAAGGATACTGCTGCTAATCAGCGTTTTGGCATTAAAAATTTACACTTACATTAAACTAGCTTTAAACCTATTGAATATTACAACAGCACAGAGTCATGTAAAAAGATTCTTAAAATATTGAAAAACTAAGTTCCTGATATTTACCCGTTTCATCATGGAGCCTAGAAAAGTACATGGATTTTACCCAAACAGTTTTTACTGTTGTTAATGTTATGTACAAGGTATTGCAAATACTTCAATGTGCAATAGTTTTTGAAAAATTGAAACAATAAAATTTCTTATGATCAGATAGACATAATATGTACCTAGTAATATTGTTTCAAAACCTATATTACCCAGAGCCATTCTAAAACCCAAAACTCAACCCCACTCCTCATTTCTGGTGGGAACATTTCGAAATTATTTTAGAAAAGACACCAATGAGCAAGGAGCTAAAAATTTGAATATCTATTCAAAAATGAATATTTATGAGTGATCTTAGTTATGCCCACCAATCCCTTCTATGATTTTGTCATACATAAACTAAAAACAAGCAACATTCAATAGGAATTTGCTTTATTGAAGTTCATTTCAACTTCTTTGTTAATTTTATCTGGAACAGGGAGATTTTTTAATGTATGTTCTCTTTTTCTGTTGAGTTTCTAACTCCAATAACTTGCAATCATAATCTATTGAAAATTACCATTCGAAAGTGGCATATAGGATACAGCTGAACAAAAGTATGCTTGTTCATAGAATAGTATTCAAAAACTAAATGACATGTCGGACTCTGCAACAGAGTTCAAGACGCTTTTCTTTTCAGTATAAATGGATCTCTGGGTACCTACTCTTGGCATCAACTATTGATTATTTGTCAGGGCATAGCCAGATTAAAAAAAAAAGCTCAAAATCCAAGTGATGAATTGAAAATATTATGGAACTATATCAAAACGAAGGCTTTCTTATAAAATTACGCTCATTCACACTCGTGTTAGCATTCCTAAATAAGGTATTCGGGGATTTCTCGATGAACAAAGGAGGGGACTGAAAACCTCCACCTCTTGTATTGAAACTTCTTAGGGATGAACTTCCAAAACTACTATGTAAATTATGGGTAGGTACACCATTCTGTATGAACAGCATGTTATTTTGGTTCAAAACTGGATAAAAAGTATTATTATCAGCCTTATAGTACAGTTGTTGATTATTAAGAAACTGAGTAGCACTAGAATTTATGGGCTTGAAATGATATGCAGATTCGGAGAGAATCGAAGATCTTTCGACGTCCCCACCTACTGATGGATCTCTCGAAGGTGGTGAGGAATTGAAATTATTATTTACTGGCTCTGTGCTAGAAACGAATCCCGAACTTTGACTAGATGAACGACTTAAATTAGTATTGGCGACAGCTACTGGGAGAACGTTGGTGTCATTTTTCCAGAACCCGCCGGCTGTCCAAGGATTCTGCGTTATATTTTTGAGTTTGGGTGGCGATAGGATTGGCCGATTTGAGGAACTCACTGAAAATATAGGAGAAGTACAGGGCTGTGGTCTAAAGTTGAGGTTACTTAAATGCAGATTATCTAAACTCTGGTTTAAATCGCTATGCAAACCACAACTATTAATGGTATTAGCAGAATTATCGAAGAATGAGGCAGTAGTCGTACTTTTGGCAGTGGTGAAGCTATGATTGAGATCTCCATTGTGACGTATAGGGCTACTGAAATGTTGAACAGGAGAAGATGAGCGGACTGACTGGTAGTGAAGTGATTTCGAACTTTTGTATGAATTTTTTGACTTGGTTGAAGATTCTGAAGAATTCTGAATTTCTTCTACTTCTTCTTCGTCAGAGCTTTCTAAAACTTCTATAGGTTTCTTGATCTTCTTGAATTGAAACTTTGTTCCTCCAATTTTTTTCTTCTTTTTTATAGATTCATACGTCAGGTAACTATAGAGCAACGACAGAGATGTAAACACCTGCAAAAATGTTTGCATAATGAATAATAATAACAAAAATAATTCTTATTATATCATCCTGTCTAGTAAGACTGTGTCCAAAATAATGAACTAGAAAAATTTTTCATTTGACAAGAAAAACAGAAGTAACTGAATTTTCAAACTTCAAAGGAAACGTTAATTCTGAAAATATCTTCTCAGAGATGTTTAGAATATCTATTAAATTATTCAATGACAAACAAACATTACACACGAATCGCAAAACTCTCTGTACTCACCTGTAAAATGTTTATGAAAAAGAAGTAGTCTTGTCTGAATGATATGGATGATGATAAAAAGAGCACTGTCCAACCTAACATTCCATTGATTTTTGAAAAAACTGATGTCTTGTCACAGAGAAGAATAATAAAATCCAAAAGAAATCCTACAGATGTAATAGGTAACAAGTTTCCTTTTTGAATTTTTATATTTTTTGGTAGATAAGAATTGAAATTATTGATTTCATCATCAAGACGTCTCGAAACGTTGAATATTGTACTGTAAATATCTCTCAGAATAAACTCATATTGTGTGATAGATTTTGGCATATATTTCTGCACATCCTGTGTTGGATAATCAATTTTAACATTCAAAATTTGACATAACACTAAAACAGTAAAAGAAACTAATGTGTATTTTATCACTTTCAGGCAAAATGATTGCTTAACATCTTTAGTTAAACCATGTGAAGATTTTGTTAAATCTAATATGGACAGGCCTTTTTTACGTAAATTTTTCAGGCGATTCCCAAAAATCCAAGCATTTTTCTTCTCAATTGTTGATTTCAAGACTTTATCACATTTTTTGCAGAGCTTGTAGGATTTATCTAACTGCTTCCTGAAAATAATTTGTTACAATAAAATTGAAAAAATAATGTATAATAAATACTTACTGAAAATGTTCGACTTCTTTGTCATATGTTTCTTCATTAATAGGCGTAAATTGGGCAAGCTGATACACTTTCAACTGCTGATTATTGTTACAATAAGTACATAAACCATTTGTGTACGGTTCAGTCTTCTTTGTAGTATTAAGTTCAGTAAATGAAGTGTTGTGTTGTGCTTCAATAACTTTGTTGTAACCTCCATCTTTATCAAATCCATTATATTGCAAACAAGAGGGACAGTCAAAACTATTACGGTTCCTATATGGCACTTTTGTCCAAGCATTGCAGAACCAACAATTCGCATTCACACAAAATCCATTCCTGGAAAAATATTTCTGAATTATCCATGAAAATAAGGATGATCACATACCTTCTGAGAATGTATAGGTTAAAGATTATCACAAAAACCAAGGAGAACAGAGCTATTAATGAAGCAGCAAGAGATGAAGTTTCTACAAAACTAATCATTTTTAACTCAAAAGAACATGAGATTTCTAATAACTTATAACAGTCTAATTTCTTATTCTCAAACAAACACCCGCATTTGGCGGCTCAAAGCCACTCGCTGTTCGTCAGCGCCACTCATGCAACTTTGCAACTACACCAGTATTGACACTTGACATTTGCCATTCTTGCCATCTTTCGACACTACAATCTTTCTTTCAAGGCACTTTCTCACGAGTAAGTTTAGTTGACTAGTTGATCAACAAAAGTTGAATATAACTTGAATTAGTTTTTGTTCACATTGTTCAACACAAAATATATTGTGTAGTGTCATGTATTGCTCTCAACAATTTCAGACGGCTTTTATTTATTCTATGGCCATTCTCCAAGGCGTGTTGTGGGACGTAAAATTTTTCTAGTCTTTGAAATCGCATATGTGCTGCGTGTTCTTTGAGAACTCGTTTCTCGCAAATTTCCAGCCGGAATCATTGATGTGTATCGGAAAATTAAAGTATAGATATAAATTGAGAGGTTCAGAGTTAGGAATTAGTTTTTTCATCTCCTGAAGACGTCAATTTAGTTGGTGAATTGCGTGTCGAGGAAAATTTTGCATTCCTGGTTATTGGGAAAATTACTTGTGAATAGATTTTCAGTTATATCAAAAATGAAATATAAAACATGTTAGGTGGGGTTCAGATTTTATATTTCATAGTTGGCCTTTATGATCCCTGTCATGACTAGCAATATTAGCAGTCAAAATATTAAGACATCTTATACATTCGAACTCGAACCATTTCATTAATTCTAGTCAAATAGAAAACCTGATTACCATTAATTCCTTATTGAATGTGGTTAATTTGAAACTGAACAATAAAAATTTTATGTGTCGCTATCTAATGGAGAAGAATGGAGAAGTAGAAGAAAACTTGGACACCAATTAGTCCTTATCGAATATCATATATACACTCAATACCTCCTCCTCACAGGAGTGTTTTACACCTGACACATGCTGGCTAATCTAGAGTGTCTGTATTTGAAAGTTCAAAGTTCGGGGTGGCTTAAGAAATACAACACCCTATAGAAATTTTCACCAAACATATTCCAAAAACGATAAAGTGCCAACAGTTTTTGGAAATCTGTTCAGTTAAACCTGATATATGGGAAAACAAAACTGAATTTTCTATGTGCTCCGTAATGAGTAAATTTGCTTTCATTTAACTTTTGTTGTGTTCTTACCGTTTTCAAGATCAACATGTTTTCAATCGAATTTCACTACTAGCCCAGTGTATGAAACTACAGAGCCCATGTGGGAAGTGGAGTATTGGGCTCTAATATTTTTGTCGGTTCTGTGCAGAAGTTATGGGTTCTATACTATTGAACGATTGTATCAGTTTTGGCTCCAGCGTTAACAACAATTAGTCAAATTAGGAAGTTACAAAATAGTTAGATAATTATATATTTATTTCATAAAAACTCAAACTTTTTATGGAAATTCCAGGCATCCAGATCTAAAACCACTGTAAATAAAAGATGGCCCTGAATATGGATTATCTATGTTCCATGATTCCATCATTGCCTAACCTATCTTTTTTTTTTGAAAATTGACAGATTGTTTGGGGAGATTTAAAAAAGTAAATATAATTTCAAAATAATTTTGTAATATTCAACCTACAATCTTGGTGAAGATTTTGAAATGAGTTTAACAACAGATTTTGGACCCGATTCTGGCGGACGAATGAAAGTATGGCATTTTATGTATATTATTTATTTTTATTCTATTTATATTATTTACAGGGAATATGCATTGTAAAACCAATAGTGTATGGCAATATAGCTAGATATTTTGGTAAAAAGCGAGAAGAGGATGGACATACACATCAATGGACAGTTTATTTAAAGCCTTATAATAATGAAGACATGTCCACTTATGTTAAAAAAGTTCATTTTAAGTTACATGAAAGTTATACCAATCAAAATAGAATAGTAGTGAAACCACCCTACGAAATAAGTGAAACTGGTTGGGGAGAATTCGAGATTGTTATCAAAATACATTTTCATGATCCCAATGAACGAGTAGTAAGAATATTTGGAAATTATCATCTTCAAGATCATATCTAATGGTTTCAGGTTACCATGTACCACATTCTCAAATTGTTCCACTCTGGAAGTACACAAGATATCGGCATAGAACAGAGTAAAGGTTTAGTATCTGAAAGTTATGATGAGATCATTTTTCAAGATCCTACTCAGCTAATGCACCATTTGCTTACAAGTACGAAACAGTTGACCTTAGGAAGGTGGGAACACAACACAAATTGTAAGTTCTGTGTGTCAATATGGTTCTCAGATTTAGGAAGCAAAGTAATTTGCATATCTTCATTATTTTTGTCACATCATAAATTGCTAACAGTATAAATTGGTTAAGGCTTTCGCGGCCGAGATTTTCAGTGTTGCGATCTTCATTTGGGTTTGAAGGCCATTGTGGCGAACCGTTAGGATACAGTTCCAAACCATGACGCCCTTCAAATCCGAATGGAGATCGCAACACTGCCAACAGTACGTTGCTCAAACACATAACTTTCACGTTGGTGAGTAATATACATAAATAAAATAGAATTACACTTGTGGAATTTTTTTTGAGCTGTCCAACAAACCAAATTATTTTACGAAAAACATGATGATCTTTTAGAATTTAATGTCATTGCATAGAAATAACGATCTCTTTTTGCTTGGATAAAACTGCCACTTTTCTCAGTCTTTCAGCACAGGTTCATTTCTAAATGATGAAAATATGAGATAATAATAATCGGCAAGAAAAATATTTCTTATATTTCAACAAATTCAGAATTCAAAACAGTTTTTGATTATTGATTGGTTGTCAGGATTTTACTATACTTGGAGTGACTCCAGATTGTAGTATGATGTAGGTTTTTGTAGCTTATCAATATGATCGACTGATATTTTCATTTAACCGGAAAAAGCGATATGCACAATTGGTAAGTTGAATGCCTGAAGTTAACATGTCCTTATATGTTTTCAAGAATGGCAAAAAAATATTTGTATTAAATAACGCAAAACATAATGTCAATACTCAACAGAAAAACAATTTTCATGTCTCATTTGGGATAATGAAAGTGTTCTATGACTCTCCTAATCATTTGGCTCCCACAAATTAAACAAGTTCCATCAAAAAGTGTGAAACTTTATTTTCAAGCACAACCTCACAATTTTTGCAAAATTTCGAGTGTCATAGTCTACGTGTATCTAGTTTGAGGCTTATATTTGTGTGTATTCCCTTCATTGTCAATTCCTATACAAAACATTTTTGTCAGATAAAAAAACTGTAATCACCATTATTGTCAATAATATTAATTATATAGTGCCCGTCACCATGTTGTGACGACATCAATTTTCCAGTACACTTACTTCGATAATTTGATAAGGTGAAAAATAAAGCACATTTGAATGTATAAGTATATACTCTAAAACTCTTCAGTCCGACAAGCTCAACTTATCTAACATTGCATTAAATTTTGAAACGTCCACAATATCTCTACATAGAGAAGAATTGATTTTTTTAGCTTTCATTTGTCTTCTTCTTATCCTAGCAATGGAACAGAAATTTTCAAAGTTTATAGATCTCTTGAACTTCCTTGTGCTCATCAATTGTTTCTCGGGAATTTCAAAAATTGTTTCAAGATTAGAAGAACATTTTTTCTGTGGTTTTGTTGAGTCAGGTTTTTTACATTTGCCTGTATTTTTCTTTCTGCCACCTCCTTTGATTTTGCTTGCTGAGAAAAGTTTGGTTTGGGCTTCAGAACTTTCAATATTGGACTCAAAATGGTACTTCTCCCTTTTTGTTGTGTACTGGACAGAGGATCTCTTCAAATCTCCTGGTTTCTCTATAAAGTTGCAGCTTTTGCCAGATTGTTTGTTAGAATCAAGATTGAAGTTTGAACTGATCCATTTTTCAACAAGTTCTTTTTGATCAAAAGCGTTTTTCTCGAGAAAAAGTTCAGTTTTCATTTCCGTATCAACCGAGACATATTCATCTTCCTCAGTAATTGTTTTTTTGTATGGTAGCAATGTCAAACTTCTTCCTTTCGTTCCGCGATTTTCCTTCACTATGTTGAATTTCTTTGAATATTTTGAATATATTGTTGAAGTGGGTGCATGTGGCTCTTTGTTGGAAACAAATCCTTTACTTTTATTTCCTTTATTATCGAATGAGTCGCATGAAGAGAATGGTGAATTTTTATCAAAGGAATGTTCTCCAACAGTTTTCTCTGTAGATTTAATAATTTTGGAGTTCGAGCCACAAGATTTTCTTCTATATGCCCTTTCATTCTTGTTGCATCTGTGATATATTCCTAGCGAACATTCATTTCTGACATCTTTCACTAAAGGTAAATCCATATTATTTTGAACATTCATTGAATTTGGCCAAGATATTTGGTCAACCTCGACTATCAGTCCTTTTTTGCTTTCTTCGATAATACTTTTTTCTGCAGAACCACTAGATTCGGTCCAAATAGAACCATTTTTGTCTTTATTCTCTCCAATATCCATATATTTTCTCAAATTATATTCACTCATGCTTGAAGATTTGGCTGTATAACTCATTTCTTGGTTGGTTTGAAATTTAGGAATTGGATTATTTTCTGCATCTCCTAAAAATGTGCAATTCATGTCAACCGATTTTCTTCGTTTCACTTTGTTACTCTTGTCAGATCTGCCTTGTAGTTTGCAGAGGGTTCTGTGACTTTCACCAATTCCATTGAAGTTATCCTGAATAGTACCATATTGTTGTAATTTTGTATTTATATTTTGTGTACCAACCCCTTTTCTTACCCCTTCTTCTCCTTCATTACTATTCAAAGTTAAGTCGATTACACTATAAGATCTAAGAGAATGACGTCTTTGACTGAAGACTGGATTCTGATCTATATTAGTCTCAAGACATTTACTTATTTCAGTACTTTTTTTTCTTTGAAAAAATTTGCCATTGCTCAATCTGTTAGCTTCCCCGCCAATTTCATTGTCTTCCCTCGATTTTTCAAAACATTGTCCAATTTTTCTCTCCGATGTTTCGTTGAGACCATTCTCAAATGTACCAAGGGATGAGCGTAGTGAATAGCGTCTACCATTCGGTAAAACCGAATGCCCCAATTCATTTTCTTTTTCTGTATCTTCAAAAAATGTACAGTTCAAATGAAAATATTTTCTCCGACTTCTTCTCACAGGAGTGCAGCAATTTACTTCCTTTTCACTTTCATTATAATTTTTTTCTTTGCTTCCAAGTTCTTTATTGGTTAGATCAGCTTTCATTGAATGTTTATCATTATTTTGGTTGGATTTCACATTATTTTTGATGTTTTCGTCATACGAATCGATAGTGACTCTTCTTTTGGAGTGATGTCCAAACTTTTCATGCTGTGTTGGTGAGGAAGGATATTCCAACAAACCTGAATACCTGCGAAACTTATTACTTCTCCTTCCTATGAAAATATCTGGCTCCTTACATAACTCCATTGAAAATTGGATTCAATGCAAATGACAAATAAGTTTTTCTATGAAGATTGACAATGAGGCTGTCAACATACAGAGTGAACTAGGAAAAAGTGAAAATATGCTGTTGAAGTCAGTTCACACTAGTTGAAATGGATGTCGTTAATAGATAAAGGAGGACAGAAACGATAATATTAACTATTTTTTTCGAAGAAGCGTTTCATTCACAATATCATCAGGAATCTATAAATTGATTGACTCAAATAGCAACCAAGTGTCAATAATATTTAAATCATTTTTGGGAAAGAAAGTTTTTGGCTTTCTACTACTCCATCTTGATACAGAAAAAAGGATGAGGGAATCTTCCAAAGAAAGGAAGGAAGTAATCAATTTGAAAATGAGTATTTCTATTCATGGATGTGTAGATCACGCAAAGAAGTAACTTTCAGACACAAACTGAAAAAAAATCCTCCTGAAACAGCTACTTTCATATAAACATTGAATTACACGAAAGAACAAAATTCTTTCGAAACAAATACTTCCATATGAACACTGAATTATATAGAAGATACTTTTCTGTACTCAGTTTGTATTTCAAACATTCGTTGTGGAATAAAAATCAGATATCATTCACATGAGTTCTACTTTAAATGAATGGTAACAAATTGCACTTACATGGAACACTGTCATCCTCACTGGTATACATCGATGTTTGGCCTTAAGACACTTGCCCTAAGGCTTTTCAGTACCAAATTGGATAACATTATAGAAAATACACACAATTCATTCATGAATTACCATTTTTAATGTCACGGAATAAGGTTGATCTGCTTATGTCAATGATGACATCATATTGACATTCATTCACCTATTATCCAAAAATTAATCACTCCTAAAAATATAACCCCTTCAATTCATATTTAAATCATAGTTATGAATTATATTCAACATTGTTTATAGAACTATACAAATTCAACCGGTTGTCCCAATATCAGTGGATGGGTCTATTCCAGAAAATGAAATAACTTTTCTAATTTCCTTTCTAGTTGAAGAAAAAAAAGACAAGACATTGAAAAACATTTTGGATGCACATCAAAAAATTAGGACAGAAATAACGGTCCTAAAGAATAAATTGAAACTAGCCAAAGAAACAATATCATCGTTCAAAGAGGAAATATCTAAATCACAGGAGAGTAAATTCATGATGTAGATTCTAATCTCAAGGATAATTTACAAGTATATGTTTGAAATGTAAAATTTTTTTCATTTTATGAAAGTATATGATAATAAATATTTCAACAATATATTCAATGTTATTTTTATACTAGACATTTTTTTTGCCTTGAAATGGTAGTTATGACAACAATGTGTTTAAGATGAAAAAAAAAATTAATGATCAATTGGGCTAAATCAAACAAGTAATTAACTTAAATTAGGAGGGTTTATTAAAATTGGAATAACATCAAATATAATACACATGACCTGATAATTTCGAACATCTAACCAAGCTAACTTTTCTCTTAGCCTACAGACGAGGTTATAAGTTCAGCAACATCAGCATCGGGTGACCTCACGGTCAGTTGCATAGTCACACCATCAGCTAGGGCTAGTTTTGCCCTAACTAAAATGTCAATACCTCCTCGAAACATTCCTAAAAAAAAGAAGAATTACCAGAAAAAAATATTTGTAATAATTAAATACGTAGAAACTGCAGAAGTATTGAGAATAGCTTCTAGAGGTGTTCCTCAACATTAACAATAATGACCTGTATTATGAAAACTCACCTGCTAGTAAAAGAGTATGAGTTGATTTTTCCTCAGGAACCTTATCCGTTCTTTCTGCTGGTTGGAGACCTAGGAATTGAATGATATTCTTAACTGCTTCCTCCAGAGTATTCATAGAGCTCAAGGAATAAGTGTCTTCCTTTTCCACGAAGGTGGCTGCTGCTTCTTCCCATGCCGCACCCCAGTTGACTTTGCTGACCCTCTGGATCTGATCTTCGAGTGTGATTTCCAGGTCTTCTAACATGTATTCATCGTCGTAGCCTGGGCACAAAAAAGAATGAAGGCGAGAATTTCAAATTAGTTGATTCTATATTTACTTATTCAAAAATCGTGTGAACTGTTGAAACACAAGTGAGATGTTGATTGTTACATCAGGTTTGGAGTTTTGTTTTCTGATTTTATTGAGTAGTTGATTTGAAATATAATAATAGTCATTTCATAATAGAGTTTAAAAAAATAATCAATTAATTTGTGTTTTTTGCTATCAGATATTTATTTATTCATTTCATTTTCATTCATTTATTTCTGTATTCATAGCATGGACATAGAAAAATATTTTTCTACGTCCATGATTCATAGCTAATATAGTGGTAATTCGTTGTAATCGAATTTTTTTCTGTAAAAACTAGAAATTACAATATTCAATTTTATTGTTTTTAAAAGCAAAATTACCATTGTTACTCGTTCCGAACTTTTTTTAATAATAATAATATGCTTTTTTATCATAAGACATAATCTTGTAGACAAAGCTTGGGTAGTACATACTTAAAAAAATGCAATACATACCAACTGAAATAAAAATAAAAATATAAATGGTGCGTGGGTACAAACTATGTTAAAATGAAGGATATGAAAGACATGTATATATAAAAGAGTAAAAGTCAAGTTTATAAAAGAGTGGACATAAAAAGTAACAACTTAAGAGCTCCTTAATAAGTAAAGATAAAAATATGCATAAGTCAGTTATAAGCTATTATCAAAATATTCATCCAAAGTATAATAGGGTCTATCAGATAGAAATTGTTTGACTAACTTCCTGAATTGGAAGTCATTTATATTGGCAGATCTTATGTCCATAGGCAAATGATTGTACATTTTTCCATCGTTGTAAAATATAGAGTCTCTGGTAATGTTTTTAGTTGGCACAGTGAGTTTTAGTGTGTCTGCAGTTTCGGGTGTTATAATGGGAAGAGGATGCAGCAAAATTTAATATATGCTTATTTATTAAACACACAGATTCCAGTATAAATAATGCAATTACCGTTAGAATAGTATGTTTTTTGAATAAGTTTCTACAGGAGTCTCTTGGTTTAAGGTTTCCTATATACATTATTGCCCTTTTCTGTGAAATGAGTAGACTTTTGAATAAAGTTGGACTACATGCTCCTCAAAACGGTATTCCGTAGCATAAGTGAGAATCTATGAGTGCATAGTACGCCATCTTTGTACTGCTGAACCCCAATTCTTTATAAATCACTCTAACCGCATAACAGCCAGAGGAGACTTTTCTAGTGAGTTGTTTAACATAATCCAAAAATTTTAAATTCTGGTCCTCCTAGGAATTTTGTGTTATTTTTAGATTCCAGTGATCTGTCTTCAAAAAAAGTTTATTGATTGACCATCTGAATGATAATAAATTTATTTTAGTTAAGTTAAAAGATAAAATGTTTGAATCACACCAATGTTTAACTCAAGTCGGCAGAGATTATTTTGTGCAACTCACAAGTGTTTCTATTATTCCAAAGTATGGTAGTGTCATCTGCAAATAAGAACTTCCCAGAAATATTAAGCTTGGTGAGGTCATTAATATACAGATAGATCTTTATTTAAAAAATAGGTAACCTTAATATACATATATATCCCAATTAAATCAACGGTGTATATATACAACATTAGACAAACACAAAAAAAAGAAATACAATGCAGCAATAATATACGAATTCGACTGAGAACCAATTAAGCGTTGCTAACATAGATCTTATGGGGGTGAGACGATTAGTTCTCAGAATTATTCTCATGCCACGATTTTGAAGTGGCATAATAAGAAATAAGTGGCATAATAAGAAAAGAATGGGACCTAACACAGAAACTTGTGGAACTCCAGAATTAATTTCTCTTTTTTTTGAAAGTTGACTTGTTTTGACAATTTGCCTCCGTCCCATTAAGTAGGAATCAAACCATTTGTGAGTTACTCCTCTGCATCCATAACATTGGAGCTTTCTCAGTAGTATTTTGTGATTAACACAGTCGAATGCCTTCGACAGGTCACAAAATACTGCGGCAGTCTTTTCACCGACATTTATCTCAGAATAAACTTTATTCAAAAATGAGAAAATAGCATCGTGCCTATTTTTATTATTCTCGAAGCTAAATTGATTTTCACTGATGATGTTATGCTCATTTATGAATCCAAGTAGTCGTTTTTTAACTAGTTTTTCAATGATTTTTACAATACTTAACAACAATAAGGAAGAATTTCTATAATTAAAACTCAATTTGTTATGTAAGGTCAACAATGAAATTATGGTAGTTCAAAACTCTTTAACATTTCTATAAAAACAAAGTTAGTGTCACCCGCATATAACTTAATATTTCCTTTCAGCAATAATTTTGAAACAGAATTTAAATAAAACTGGACCCAAAATAAACCCTTGCAGAGCTCCACTACATTTAGACATTTTTCAATGTCAAAGTCAACATCTAGAACCACAATAAAAAAAATTTTTGAACTCTACAAAAAAAATCTGACTAACCTTCATCGGAATCTGGTAACCCAGTCGTAGGATCGCAATCTTTCACAACGAACTTGAGAACTGCCCCGAAAGTGCCAACGCAAGCAGCTAGGTCATCGTCGGGGAACTTCAACACTACATAAGTGGTACCAGACTCGTTATAAGGGAGCTTGGGGCAAGGAACTTCCGAAATGATCTCGAACATTTCGCTCGGCTCCAACTCCACCCTGACATTCTCCAGTAGCTGATCACTTAGGGTGTTCAAACAATCAAATTGCAGAACAACGTGGTGAGTGAAGCAGTGCTTGATACATCGGACGAAGTATTCTGTTTCTGATTCGGTCAGTTCCACGACTTCTGAGCTGCGGAACAAGGGGCCCAATTGCTGAAAAAATGTATCAACAGGTTTTAATATTAATTTTGAAAAAAAAGTAAGTAAGAAACAGACAAAAATCGAGAAAAATGTGAGCAAGGTTTAATACCGTTTTTTTATTCTTTTTTTTTATGGTCATTTCTTTTTTAATTGATTGTAGATTAACATTCTATTTATTCTAATTTTTATATATAACTTCCTATTTTGGCCAAGGCATTTTTTATTTTTCTTTCGTTTTTTCTTCAAACAGACTTCAAAATTTCCAACATTTTTTTAGACAATGGAAGTTTGAAGCTCTAACTTTTAAATAACCCATAAGTTAATTTACTAGATGAAAAGTCAATTCTGTGACGACCAAATTCGACATTATTCTAAAAAAATAGTATTTTTTTGTAACTTTATAATAATAATGAATTAATTCCAACAAGTACAGGACCTAATTACAGAAAATGCTTAAGAAGTACTTTTCCAAAAATTAAAAGCTATTATTAGTTACAAGACAAAAGAGTATGTCAATGACTATGTTAGATATAATGCAGCGGCAAATATCAGAGAGATGAATAATTGATATCACAGGAATGGCAAATTGCATTAAAATGTTTACTTCATTTCATATCAAGTGTTAGGGCAAGGAACATAAAAAGGAATTTTTGATAAGAGATACACAGTCAATATCGTTTTCCAACAGATTATATAAACATGTCACTGTTGAAATTACTCGTCTGGTACTTAAACTAACGAACTTCGGTTCTTGCAGTAATTGACTATAAGGAATTCATCTCTTGGGAACATACACCATGTTCAATACAGATTCCAATCAATCAATCAATATATGCTTTATTGTCGGAAGATTAGTATCTTATTGACAAAGTCTTGTAAAAAAATCAAATGAATGTCATAAAATATAAAAAATACAGAATACAATACATGACATAGAAATATTAGAAATACAAACATAGCAATTTCACAAATAAAACATTAAGAAGACAGATGAGTTTAGGTGAACATTATTGGTTATCATGGTAGAATTCATGGATCAAATAATAAGCTTTTTTGATTAAAAGATCTTTAAACTTTTTGATATCTGTGCTATTTTTTAGAATGGTAGGAAGGTGATTATATACTTCAATACTTTCATAAATCAGAGAATGCTGAGTCAAGGTGTCAAGTCAATTTTGGTGTCTGGTGTTGTGACAATTTGTTCCGGGAGTGTACATGCTCATTTTATTTTTATGAATTAAGCATACTGTTTCCACTATTTCCACGAAATAATCTAACCTTTGCAATAGATTACCATAGGTGTAACTATGGAATGCATTCTCCTTTATCAAGAATAGTCATAAATGGGAATAATACAAAATTCGATCTCTTTCATATTTCCGAGAATATTCTTAGAAATAAGTTAAGATATACTTATTCTTAAATTGCTAGTATCTGTCATTTACTTTTATTCTCGCTTCATTTCAATTCTCTACTATAACTGTTTAAATTGTTATTACTTATAATTAAATTAGATAAGATTTGTGTTAACAATCTGATATTTGTATAACTTATATTAAATGGGAGTTACCCGTGAATAAATAAATAAATAAAATAAATAAATTATGTATAAACAGGTGACAGTTAATATTTTGTGGCTGATGAATAAAGGCAGATTCCAAGTGAGTTTAATATGAAGCAGACAATTAATTATTGTTTGCTATTGCCTCAAATATATTGAATGTCACATTTGGACTTAGGAAACATCAGGGGCCGTCCATTAATCACGTGAGGCTTGGAAGGGGGGGGGGAATTTAGCAAAAGTCACGAAATATCACAAGAGGGGAAGGGGTATAGTAAGATATCACATGTATTTATTTTTTTCGTGAATCGTGCGATTTTTAAACTGAAAATATGAGTTTGACACGCCGTTGGCAGGCAAAAAACGAAGTCGCTTGCACTTATATGACCGCCTGGCTCGGCTTGCCAGTTATATTGTTATTTCGGCGCCGAATACATGCGTTTTTCATTAAAACAAAGTCTAAACTAGGTGATCTGCATAAAAGACCTATTTGCAGAATATACGAAAGGAAAAATTTTAAGATTCTTTGTAGGAACTGAAAAATACACGTGATTTTGGGTGTGGGAGAGGGGTTAGTCTTAAACCTCACGTATCACCAAGGGTGAGGAAGGGTTAATAAATACTAAAAAAAACATCACGTGATTAATGAACAGCCCCTTATTAAGGCAGTTTTGCTCATTAGGTCAAACAACAGAGAAAACCACTACTGAAGATAGCTCATCTACAAAATGCTTGGGGCTATAGGTAGATGGGACCACATGAGAATCCTCTCGACAAAATTATCCTCAGGACGTTTTCAATTGAACTAGATGTCCAGACAGCTGAATTAATAGATGCACACTCAAGATACGGAATAGCATTCTAGGGTGTAACCACAACTCAGTTTTCCAATGCTATTATTGTAATGCAAAAAAGGGCATAATGCAAAATCTATTTTAATTTTAATTCTGTTGACATAATGATGACTTTATTTAGGCATTTTATTATATTCTTCAACGCGACACATTTGATTATGTATACAGGGTGTCCCTGGACTTCCTCTTTTCCTCTCGGGAATGTATAGATGGGGTCAAAATATCACCAGTACTTCATATGATATTTTGACCCCATCTATACATTCCCGAGAGGAAAAGAGGAAGTCCAGGGACACCCTGTATACATATGAATTTTATGTATGTGTAAGTAATTTTACTTGTCTGTATATAATGTTTTTGATATGATAACTATATGTTTTATGTGTTGTCAATTATAATTTTCTTCTTTCGACAATAAAGTCTACCTTGACTGATTGATTGAATTAACCTTACCTGAAAGAAATTTGTGAAGAACACAGGGGTCGAAGAGAAGTCTTCATTTTTTGAGTAATCGAAGATTTTGTGAAAATACTTTGACCTAACAATAAGTGGCAAAAGATGAGTATTTTTTGAATACCCAATAAATTTATTCCAAACTATGAGGATCTGACAAGAAATCAGTGTAGAAGTTTGACTGTGCTAATGAAAAATTTCAATGAAGAACGTTACAAAAGTCAGCATTTCAAAACACTTGTCAGAAAATTAGAGGATAACAATTCACATACTAGTATTATTATAACCATTGGTATGGGCAACAATAAACTTTTACAGGTTCTTCGAAAATATATGTTTGTTACCTGTATTCCTGGTATAGCGCTGAGTTTTTCGGTAAAGTTTTCTTCTCGCGAGACTGGAACTGGTCTTGCGGGGCCCTGAGACACAAGCATACCCTCAGCTCTGTGTTTGACTTCACGCTCCTCAGTAGTTGGAATAGAAGCAAGTGGTACTGATTTGATGTCAAATGGTTGATCTGATGCATTCTGAGTGTATTCTTTCAATGATCTTTCCAGAGATGGAATGGAAACCTGGATGAAAATAGAGAATAAAAAACTAAGGAGAACCGAAAATGTGTAATATTAATATAATAATCCAATTAATAAAAGATGGAGTCAGTTATATCTCATTAGATTCCTTTTTGCTCTTTCTAGTTTAATCTCAAAGTCTCAGCAATGTCACAGACGATGCTGAGACAGATGAAGATGTCTGCTGCATCAGCAGATGGAAGTTTAGTACTTCAGTATAAATAAATCAACAAATATAAACCTTTCACAAGTCTTTCGAAATAGTTCAAACCAATTACCATTGTTAGAAAATCAGAAAAACTTACTGAAAGAAAGTATTTATTTAAAAATAAATAAGTTCCTGATTTGAACAGTTAATCTAAAAGTAATGTATCTGTCACTGAGGCAGGCCGGGCTTATTTCACGTTCGCCGATGACACGGTCCTTTTGTACAGTGGATATGATTTACATTTACTGGAGAACACAGTTAATGAAGATCTCTCTAAATACTCAAATTGGCTTGCACATAATAAACTTAAGGTGAACTCTGCAAAAACCATTTACATGCTATTTAAACAAAAAAATAGAATTTGTGGAACTATTGAATCAAGAATAAATAACTAACCCTTAATGAATGTTGCAAAAACCAAATATTTGGGACTCATAATAGATGATAAGTTAAACTGGTCAGGACACATAGAACATATTAATGATAAAATCGTACCAATGTTAGGATCTCTATATAGGTGGTCCAGTTACTTGAGTTTCAGTAATAGATACTTGGTTTACAATGCATATATATTGGCGAATCTTAGATATCTGTTAATGGTATGGGGTAATTGTGGCATTACTAATTTCAAAAAAATTCAAACGCTTTAAAATAAATAAATAAAAATTTCATTTCAAATTCCATTTCGAACCCACACGAATGATTTATTCTCACAGACTGAACTACACCCGATTAAATATCTACCTAAACATGAGCAATGCAAGAACATATATAAAATAAAAAACAAAAGAATCAAAATCAACAACAATCTACTAGTCAATAACCAGTTTTATGAGTATAATACAAGGGGTAGAAATGACTTACACCTGAGCATGGTAAGAACGAACAAAGGATAATACAATCCTTTTACACAGGCTATAAAAGTCTTCAATGAATTACTTGTCCATATACGTGAGTTGCCGGGCTATAGTTCATTCATCAATAGTTTAAAAGAACATCTGAGCCTCGAGGCACATGTCTGATACGTTGATTCTATGAGCTTTGTAGTGGTTTACTAGTTTTTGTGTTTCACTTGTCATGTTGAATGTTTGTGAATCCCGAGACCAGCATTTTTGCTGATTAGGGAGAATAACAACATATTTTATATTTATAGTGTCTCAACTATGTTGAAAAAAAAATTGTTCAAAGCCTTGGATGCAGCAACACTATTTGACAAATAGCATACACTGAAATAATAAAAAATTCAAAAGACTTTATATTTACCTGTAAAGTTTCCAAAATATAATTATTGTAAAGGCTTTTATCACTTCTGCTCAAAATACTGCTGTAATAAGTAGCCCGATCACGGACTTCATCATCAGAATCCATCTGACAGCGAGCTAATAAGACTTGAATGTTCTCCAACAAATCTGGACAAGATGCCCCAAATTGTGCCATAGCTGATACTGCAGCAGCTCTAATAGAAGGACACTCCAGGATGACTCGATTATAGATGAAACGGATATATCTGCAAAAAAAAAACATGCCAGAACATCTCGTAATATACTCTACAAACTCTTAATTTCATCACTGAAATAATTAAACGACTGGAATTCTCTGGTAATCAATGTAAATATATTTTTAGAAAAATGAGCTCACCTTGAAGGCTGCTTTGTTTTCGGCCCCTCTTTCCCGAGCAAATGCAAAATCCTGACAGCCAGTGAAACGTGTTCGCAATCTTCTATAAACTCGCAGAGATGTGCTAATCCTGTTTCTTTAGCTTCAGGATTATCTTCGATAATTGTTATAATAGTGTCAGCAATTGATGCTTTGTACTCCAAACCGCCTTCGTCGCGCAACATAGCTGATAAGAAGTTCATGAGAACAGTATGTTTTCGCGGGAATTTCAAAGCTAATGCCCTGATAGCTTGGACTACAACTACTTTGAATTCGTCGCTGATTTCGGACACGAATGTTGCAATTTGTTTCATTAGGCGATCAACTGAGGATTCAGCACCTGAAAAAAGATTGGAAAGTCGTATTATATAAAACAGGGTACAGAGACAGGTTTTGAACATGTTGGATTGATTAATGATAATTTTGAAATGGACTTGAATCACTTGAGATGAGAACTATGAAATCATCCTCGTATCTGTTACAAAAAGTTAAACATCGTTCAGATGCTCAGATCTTAAAAATTGTTCATAACCCAAACTTTTTTGCGGTTCTATAGTAAATAAATTACTAAGGTTTACAACAGTATACCTCCTCATCTAAAATGATTAAGCAATAAGTATTTTTTTTGATAGGAAAAGAAAGGTTTTGGGTTTGTACTTGACCTACTTGACAAATAATTCCAAAATGAAACCTTTACAAAGATGAACAAAACAACAAAAATGATATTTTATTCTCTGATTGAGTCCCACCTGAGATATGGTGTTGCCTTCTGGGGATTTTGCAGTCAACAACTTTTTCATTCAGTGTTTGTTTTGCAAAAGCGAGCGGTTAGATACTTATGCAAGGTGGGAGTGCATGAGTCATGTAGAACATTATTTTTGAGAGAAAAAATTCTCACTATTACTTGTATTTTCATACTTGAAACTGTTTGCCTGATTTACAAAAAACATAATATTGTTGGAACTCTGGAACATACAAATTACATAACCTGGCAAGTAACTGAAAATAAAATACATCTTACTGTTCCAAAAACGAGCCAAACAAAGTATTCTTTAATTTATGAAAGTAAAAAACTGTATAATCACATACCTTTAGATATGTGAACTTAGTTTTGCTCTAATTGTGTTTCTGGGTATTTGTGTTTTTGAATTGTTGCTTTTCTTTTATTCTTTGAAGTGCTGTATATACCATATTTTTTAACAAGCTTTGTCAATAAGATTTTATTTTCTCGGACAATAAAGTATATATCTATATATCTATGTGTAGATCATACAAAGAAGTAACTTTCAGACACAAACTGAAAAAAGAAATCCTCTCAAAACAACTACTTTCATATAAACGTATAATTTTGCCAAACATGAATTGTAGAAATGTAGAATTAGTTTCTTGAAAATCTCATCACTTGGGCACTTACGAAAGATTTCACAACACTTTGACTATATACATTAATTTTTGGTTTTCAAGATGGTAATTGCTGAGAAAAATGGAAATAATGAATTTCAATATTTCAACATCAATATTGAGAACTGTTGACTATCATCTTGAAATGTTTCCTTGAGACATTTTTTTCCAGCTCTCATTGTCAACTGAGACTGTATATAATTTGAGGTAGTATTGTATGCCGAATGGTCAGCCCAGTACTTTTAGAATTGAAGGACGTGTTAATTTTTCAACTCTAGGATATTAATCAATTATATTAGCTAAGTTCTTCTTTCTCAAATAATTTTTGTGTTATTCTGAGTTCATCAAGTAATGTGTTCATTAAAATCTAACTTAAGTTTCTGGATGTAAACTATCCTTTATTAATCCAAGATGGAATAACTGTTCTTACTGACCTGTTTTCAAGAGTGTTGTAATGGCTAGTGTGGCAATGGACCTATTAGAATCAGTTATGAGATTCTCCAAATCCAAATTGCAAGCAGTTACTGCAGCAGGATGTGAAATCGCAACCTGATTGAGCGTTCGGACTGCTGCGAATCTCAGTGTCGGTTTGGGGGAACCACAGAAGAGTTGAAGAACACTTATAGCTGGAGCCAATTCCCTGCTGGTGGTGCGTTTCAAGTTGACAATAGCGTGTGCTGCTTCGTACACTACCATTTCTGATTTGTGCCTCAGGCAGGATTCAATGAATTCAAAGTAAGGGGAATCTTCTTCCTCCAGAAGTTTTGCGGTTATTCGAATCTGAAATAATTGATTCATTTTTTTTAAAGAGTTCAACTAAAAGTTTCATATTTTTGTTTGATGAGCACAAATCTGAGATCAAAACTTTGCACTCCTATCTACATTTGAAGAACTGAAAGTTTTCACCTATTTAGGTATTTTTCATTTATTTTTTTAGGCCATTTACACTTCGCTCGTCTCAAAAATTCGAATACATATTTTAACTTCTTTCCTACAAAAAAATGTAAAAGGTACTATCCGGTTTATTTTTCTATGCCAGTGAAACGTGAGTATTTGTTAATTCATAATGAGATAGAGTAGCTTTGAAACTTTCATTTTTTCACTGGCACAGAAGTAATAGTGTACTTTAAAAAAAAATTAAATGAACGTGAATTGTTCAAAAATAAAAAACCTCAACTTTTTCCTTGAAAAGTAAACAAAATTTGTCTTTAGTTTCTCTCTACATCAAGTTGTTTGACGATATTTCCATAGATGACGTCAAAATGTCGCCATATTGAATTTGGATTATATATCTCTTACAGTTTTTTGCTGCAATTTTGAATAGAAATTGCCACTTGTGTTATATAATTGAAAAGAAAATTGGTAGGGTTAGAGTGAGTGGTCTGTTCTACTTATTCAATTGACCGCTATGTGGAACGGTGGTTCGAGCCCAAAGGTCTGACGACTGATTTTCACGATCCAACCCATACTAGGAATCGCACGTTAGAAAGTAAAACCTTGTTAATCCTTAACTCATGCAAGTTTAAACTTCTGAAGGTTGTCGTTGGTGGGCAAACAGCTGCTGGTTAACGGAAAAACAGTTTTCAATGTTTCCTGAAACATTTCATTTTTCAACTTTTGAGTGGCAGTCGCTTCGAAAGTAGACCATAGCACCAAGTTGTGACTTTAGATTCATGATCAGCCCACAAAAATATTTGAGTCTTATTAAAAGTTTTTCAAAAAATTTTACCAATTTATATAACTATACTCTTACCAACATACAAACAGCATAAGGGGATCGGAGAGACATTTTTGTCAATTTTGCAATTAGCTTAGTAACTGCTAATCGGTCAGTTTTCCTTATATGATATAGTAGACCAAGAGCATGGTACTGCACCATGATGCTTAAAAATTAATATATTATTTCTAAATTCACTCTACAATTCAACATTCTGTACATACTTATCACTTCTGATTGCTTCCTGTGCTTCATTAACCCAACGTTTAACCACTTCTGAAGCCAATTTGGTCATATGTAGGGAACTTACAAGAGCAGCAGAGCTTACTGCTGAGTTACGATCAACGATTGCTTGTTTCATGTATCTTTCAATAGCCTGCAGCATTGTAGAGTCAGTTATGCTACAAAGAGCTCTGATTGCAGCAGCCCTGTACATGTCCTCTTTTCCTGACAACCCAGTCATGTCTTTTGTAAGGCTTGACGTTACGATTATAACATCATCCGCGACAGAGCTTAGTTCTTTGATCCCCAGGTATACCATGCGCCTGAGAATTACATCTTTCGACTGAAATAGCTTTGTCATTGCAAAGAAAACATCTGTGGCTTCCTGAACACTGAGAGATTCCCCCTAAAAAAATAATTGGTGAAAAACGAAACAAGAATTGTTAGTAGTAGAGTAATTTATTGATAATTTTAAATACAACATAAATTTATGCCAAGTCTGAAGCTTGATGAAACTTATGAAGTTTGTAGAGTTGCCTCAAATCAAAACTTCAGATATTATTTAATGAAATAGTGGAAAAGATGCAATTTTCAAAGTAACTGAACCCATGGCATTTCTCAGTTAGCTGAGGATAAAAGAAAGTACTATACAGCACTCTCACTAGGACTTGGCTAACTTAGACTATCATAAAAAAAACCGAAAACTCAACACTTTTTCCAAAGTACTATACAGCACTCTCACTAGGACTTGGCTAACTTAGACTATCATAAAAAAAACCGAAAACTCAACACTTTTTCCAAGTTGAACATTAGTATTTGAGGATTTCATGCTTTAGTTTCAGTTTAAGTAAACCAGGTATCTGGTAGTTCAAACTTACCTGGTTCAATAAATATAACAATTTGGTGAGAATTGGTGTACATTTTCTGGGATTGACAGAAGTTTCGTTGAATACTCTAGCTTCTTGGAGCACAGTAGTTTTCTCGATGTTTTGAAATGGATTGCCACCTCCTGTAACCTGTATTTTCTTATCATCGAATATTTTAAGAACGATATATACTAACCATCTTCTTCCTCCTTTTTATCTCTTTTAAAGGAACTCATTTTGATTTGACAAATATATCAAAAATTCAAATAAAATCCAGAAATATTTATTTGTATATTAGAAAATTTACACGTCACAATCGTTGACACCGATAGTTGACACAATCACCCGGTTGTGTTGTCATTGTCAAAGATATAACCTGAAACCAGTCTCAACAACTTATGTTTTTTAATTTACTAGCAGTAACATTGGGTTTAGGCATTTTTGAAAATTTCAAAACACAATTTCAACTGAAATAGTAATTTTATAAATAAATGCAAATTACTTGTCAAAAATTATATTTTCTATCACAAATAAATAAACTATTTTTATTAGATATCAGAACGAAGAGGCGAGTCGTAACTACCTATGAAATTCTTGTTTCAGAATACATTGCTATTATCAATTAATCTACCACTCTTTCCCATTACTTGTTGCTGAAAATTAATAACACTATCCATGATAATACATAGTTATAGCATTTTCATCATAAATTTTAATAAAGTCGCGTTTTGCTACTCGTACGTACCAATAACTGATGAAGCAAAGTATCGTATCATGGATACGATCAAGAACTTCCATATTTTTGTGGTAGTTCACAATCATATTTAAAGTTTGAGAGAAAGAAACCATTTTGGACTGCGTCTGCGATCTGTTGATGACTTAGTTCGTCATTAATCTACAATTGTGTTTTTCGACAAAATATGCCTAAAGATACCAACCAAATATAAAAAGTTGCTTTTGAAACTAATACACTTCAAATTTATAAGGATCTGTCAGACACAGTACCTAATTTGTCATACGAGAGGAAAACAGAAATGTCTCGCCTCTTCAAGTTTGCTCAAAAATTTAATAGTTTCTATCTGTCAGGTAAATATGAGCGCTTTTGGAAGTTGGTGAATACCTATCTCGACATTGTTCATTTATAAAACCGTTAATAACTTCAGAGGAAAACTTGAATGGCTGCTATATATTGATCTTTAGTGATACACCCATGTATAATTTTCTTTCAGGCTTCAAGGCTTCTGAATGTAAGCCCTTCCTAGTCGAAGGATTCCAAGTGGGCCTAGTCAGACCTGAAGTTATGAAAGAGTTACTCAGATATCCCGAGGTAATTACCAATTATCAATAACTGGGAATTCTCTATTCAGTTTTTTGAAGGTTTTTTTAGTATCTTCTGGCTATGTGGAACTGAATCCAGCTTTTCGAGATTACGAAGAAAGAAGTAATCATGTAGACAAAGTTTTGAGGGAGCTTAGAGCTGAAAATGTTTTTATTGCTCTTAAAGGTTGGAGGGAAGAGGTAAGTTCAACTGCAACACCTATATTTTGTCACAAATATTTTGAGGGCCACCACATTCAGCGTAGCTTAACATTATTGTCAACTATTAATCAATGATGATATGTTAAGAAATGATTTGCCAATCCCCAATTTTAAAGTTAATTAATAGTGTTAATTAAAATTTAGGCTGGTTGTAGCCACTATCACCCTCACCTATAGTTTTAATTGTCAGGTCAATTAACATTCGCAGTTCCGTAAAATTGTCTGATTATCTCAAGGCTGTCTATTTAAATGTATATCAGTCATTCACATTAATTATCAATTGAAATTTCAATATTAAATTTCATCACATGTTTTAATTACATTAGAACTCCAAATATCCTAATCAATTGGGAGGAACCCAATATTGGATTTAACAAAAAAGCCTCAAAAAAAATAAACATAAAAAATGTGACTGGTAAAAACAAACTGACTTTAATGCAGTATTTTGAACCTCATTTCATTATTGTGAACATTGAAAGCGGGAGTATAATATAGAGAAAATGTACATACTTACATGTGCACATAATAAAAATTACTTCTTAAATTTTTTTGTAGGAGACAGGAAATGTTTGCCACATAATTTCCTCCTGAAAAGTCTAAACAATTTTTTTCCCTAGAAGTCAACCAAATGATTCACGATCTGGTTGATTAGAGTTTTATGTACTCCCACAATCTAGAGGGATTTATACTGTGATTTGGTTAAAAAATACATAGGAAATTCATTTGTTGATTACAATCAATCTTTGTGGAATTATGTTAACTTGTGTTCTCAAAAAAACACATTTAAGTAAGAGTTATGAAAAGTAAAAGTAATATAGTTTGAAATCTCGTTATATAACTAATCAAATCTTCGTATAAACTTGACAACATTTTTTATTTGAAAAATGTATTAAAATTTTCCCAATCACCAGAAATGCAATTCTCTTCTCGACGCGCGATTCGCCAATCAAGTTGGCGATGAAGAAAACTTCATCTCCTAACGTATTCAAAATAAACTTTATTGTGAGAATTTCATTTGACAGTTTTACAGAAACGCAACATGTGTTTCGCCATACAATGACTTCTTAGACACGCCCTAAGAAGCCATTGTATAGAGAAACACTTGTTGAGTTTTTGTAAAACAGTTTAGTGAAAATCTCATAATGAAGCAACACGTGTTTCGCCATACAATGACTTCTTAGACACGCCCTAAGAAGCCATTGTATAGAGAAACACTTGTTGAGTTTTTGTAAAACAGTTTAGTGAAAATCTCATAATGAAGCAACACGTGTTTCGCCATACAACGGCTTCTTTGGGCATGTCATTACACAAATGAAGAGAGGGAGACAAAACAAAAAAACACACATAAATCAAACTAAACGAAAATGAGATAAATGACTTCTTCACTAACAAAGCAGACGATATATATCACAGTATAGTACAAACCCAATCACATGTAACATCTCCATTGCCAGGAAATCTCAACTGTTTCCCAAACTTTAAATTTAGGGAAGTAACCTTTAATGAAACTAGAAATATAATAAATAAAATGAAAAATAAAACTAGTGCTGACCATTATGAACTAAATATCTTTTTAATAAAAATAATCAAAAATATCATAATCTCACCCTTAACAAAGTTGATAAACGAAGCAATAAAATCCGGAACTTTTCCTGATTGCCTTAAAATTACTAAAGTGATCCCAATACCGAAAGAAAAAAATGCCGAAGAATTATGTAAACTGAGACCCATCTCAATACTTCCCGTAATCGGCAAAATATTTGAAGCAGCTCTGAAATTGCAGTTAGTAGAACACCTTGAGGTACATAACATCATTCCAGATTACCAATATGATTTCCGGAACGGAAAATCAACCACGGACGCTGTAATACAGCTGGTAGATAAAATTGTCGTAGGATTTCAAAAATGTGTCCACACAGGAACAGTGTTCTGCGATCTTCAGGCGGCATTCGATTGTGTGTCACATGAAATTCTGCTTGAAAAATTGGAGGAAAACTCAATTAACCTTGTTAGATCATATCTATCGGAACATAGACAATACGTTTTTTTGAATAATAAGGTATCTGATGAAATAAAAAACGGAGTCTACCAAGGTTCGGTTTTGGGACCAGTTCTATACTTGATTTATGTGATTGATTTCAAAACTGAATATGACTCTGATTACTCAATTTGCTGAAGACACATCATTAACGCTCCAAAATACAAATTATGAGGCTGTGGTTGAAGAAATGAAAGTAGCAGAAGCGAATGCTAATAGATGGCTGACAAATAATAAATTAAAATTGAATACTAATAAAACGCAACATTACTTTTTTACACACAAACAACTGCCTATAGACCAAAATGAATCGATTAAATTTCTTGGATTCCAAATGGATTCAAAGCTCTCTTGGGAAAAACATTTAGATTTTATTTGCAAAAAATTGGCAACAAGCATTTATATTACAAGAAGTTTAATGGGTATCTCATCTATCGAAACCATTATTACTGCTTATCATTCACTTTTTATGTCCCATATATCTTATAGTCTAGTACTCTAGGGGCACTCGCCTCATGCAAAAAGAGTGTTTGGACTGCAAAGTTTTGCGAGTTATCTTCAAACTGGGTTATCAAGAAGACGTTTAAACAACATTCATTAATAATAAAATGTTTACATTACCTTTTCTTTATGTCTGTTCGTGTATAAATTATGTAAAAAAGAAATCCTCACTTATATCTGAATCAAAACGATTATCATTCACATAACACCAGACAATCACACCAGATTAAAATTGAATTCACAAGACTAAATCACTGCCGTTTTTCGAAAAATTATTCTGGTCCTATTTTATTTAATAAACTACGAGAAGATATAAAAAAACTTAAGTGTAGCCTCGTTTACAATTTATAGGAAGAATATCTGCCTGGAAAACGCTTTTTATAGTATCGACGAATTCTTATCATTTGACTTCAACACCAACTAATATTTTGAATTTACAATTACGTAGACAGTGATATTTATATTGAAATTGTTCACATCTCATTTCATTATTTGTTTATTTTTTATTTATTCATTTAGTGTTTTTATGGTATTCTTATGGTATATGATATTTGACAAAACCTTATAATATTATTGTATTTTTTTATGGCGAATAAAGGATATCCTGTTCTATTCTATTCTCCTTGTGTAACACACGTCTAGAAGAGTGTTTCAGTTCTGGTGGTTGGGAAAACTGCTTCTTTTGGATTTATTCTACGATAGAGGTTCCAGTTTCATCTTTCATTTTCAAAATTGTTTTTTTTTTCTTTGAAGTTTGTATATCATTTTTTACTTCAGTTCATTGAAAGTTTTTTTTTCTGTCATACTTGAGAAAGTCCTCTTGAAGTTACTGTCCTGCACTGATAAGGATAAATACTCTGAAACCAATCTATATGTCATATTTTGACTCCTTTTGGACGAATGACAAGCATATTGAAGGATTTCCTCTGTAATCAAACTTGTACAACTATCTGTTGGATATTATATGTAACACCTGTCGTGGTATTAGCCAGGAAAGTAGTCACTTTCCAGCCCTCTGCTGGAACATTGATGAGAGGTGAAAATTTTGAATTTTGTTCGAGATATTTTCTTTTTCAGTAACTATCTATATCTCTTCGACATTTTCATCAAACTGATTTGACTGTTGGCCTTTTTGTATATTTTTCAATTACATGTTTTCAATTCTTCAGTAAGATATTAGATTGTGACATATTTCTGCACATCTACTCTCCAAACAACTGTTGGGGAAATTTAAATTTTTTAGTGTTATGAAGTGAAAACGGAGTTTAATTCCAAGAGTCTGTTAAAAATGGACAGATCTGCCACCTGTCTGTTTGGAATAAGAAACTACGGAGTGGATATAAATGGATATGTGAGACACCCTGTGATGGGATTGTGTCTGTGGTTTCAAAAACGTTCATCTACTAAACAAACATGGCCTGGTAAGTTATTTGATGGAATCGGTCGATACTTGATGAAAAACCAATAACGTATTCAAAAAACACTTTATTGTGAGATTTTCATCAAAGAGTTTTACAAAAACTCAACACGTGTTTTGCCTTACATTGGTTTCTTCAGGCGTGCATTTTCCTGAAGAAGCCATTGTATAGCAAAACACGTGTTTTTGTCAGGTGCATTAAAAACCTTGAAATGTTAACAAATTTCACAAAACCATCCTGTAAGTAAGCTTGGCTCATTACCCATACATTGTTTATTCACTCATTTTGATATCACAATTCTATTCAAATTCATGAATTATTTAATAAAGTGTGTTTATAAATCAGACTTAGCAGAAGTCTGTTTTGTGTGATTTCATCTGAGACAAATTTCTTTCTATTCAGTTAAAACATATTCAAAATCTGGTTATAAAATGCAAAAGTTATTCAAGATCAAAAGGTGTAAACATTTCAAGGTGGGCTTTTCTAATGTATCTGCATGTGAAATGTTAGCAGTAAGTTGGTAGAACTAAGAATGCTTCAAATAATCTATTAATAAAAAATGTCGGAGTCAAAAAGCCCATTGAAGAATCACACAGCAATTGCTTATTTATATAATTTCATTAATATTGCAATTAGAAAAATAATCTAACTTTTTTGTGGAAGAGTTGATTCAAAATAGGGAATATATCAATGTATGTAAACAAAGACATCGTTTATTTTCTAAACAGATTGAATAATAATTATAAGATAGTTTGTGTACTACGATACCATGGCAAACTTGTTTGAATTGAAACAAATTTCCTGACAATGCTGTTAATAAAGAATTGTGTCAAAACTATTGAAGATAACAAAGATTGTGTTGAAGTAATATTCGTGAATGTAAATAATTACGAAAGTAAATAGTTTCATCGAACCTCTTCTTACTACAAGTGTTGTTTTTGTTTATATATAATGCATTGTTGACTTTTATTTACCTTTCCTAAGAAATTCACTATCTATTTTTGCTTTGATCATGTCTGATTGAATGGTAAATCAAATTAAGACTGTCTTATGAAAATTGTAGATAAGGTGGTCTCGTTCTCAATCATTCTTCAATTTATTTACAATTCATCCAAGATCTGATTGTCCATTATTTATTCAATATTGAAATTATTTGATTTTTTTTATTAAGCAGGTGTTATTATAGAAATAGTTTGAAATAATTTATTCAGTGACAGAATACATTTAATGAATGTCTATTTGGATGCAAATTAATGATTTTACCCTGGAAGCATAGATTGAAAATCACACAGAAATCACATTTCCTTACTGAAATTATTTGGCTACCAGATACATTTCTGTAGCGCAACTCAGCTATACCATATCACTAGGTTAAATAATGAATTATTTCAGGGAAATGGGATAACATGGTTGGAGGAGGATTATCTGTTGGTCATGGTATCTTAGAAACTGCCTTCAAGGAAGCTGAGGAAGAGGCTTCTGTTCCAGACCACCTTTTGAGAAACTTGTGCAGTGCAGGATGTGTTTCGTAAGTTGAAAAATCTTTTTCCAGTATTTCCCCAGACTATGCCATTACTTAAAAACACAAAAAAGGCATTTTAGGCAGGCCTAGTTGCTAAAGAATTTATTTCTATTTCAGATTCTTCTTTGAATCAGAGAGAGGCCTCTTTCCAAATACAGAATTTGTTTTTGATCTAGAGCTTCCGGCTGACTTCGTTCCAGAGAATGCAGATGGTGAAGTCGAGGCTTTTGAGCTAGTTCCAGCTCATCAATGTTTAGAAAAAATTCTGGCAGAAGATTTCAAAACCACAAGCACCCCTGTCGCCCTTGATTTTCTCATTAGGCATGGAGTAGTTACAGCAGAAAATGGTGAGTGCTTTAATATTTTAACTTCATTATTTTAATTCAGTTGAGAATCCAATAACTACATGTAGAAGCCAAACCAGTTATATATCAATTCATAATATTACTTTGGTAGATACATTTCTTGATTTTTCATTAAATTTGTTCAATGTATTCTAAAAGAATCCACCTCTCATTTCAAACTTACCTGCAAATTCTCTGCATAACAAAGTTACGGTAGCACAAAAGTCAGAAAGTCCCTGCTTCATTTCTTAGCAGGAATTGATATCTATGTAGCCTTGCTGTATTTCAGTTTTGAAAAAAACCATCTTTATTCTTTGTCGATATTAGGAAATGAAGTGTGCCCAGTTTTAATTGATTTCTGATAATTCTCTAGAACATTGTGCTTAGAAATGAATTTTGAAAAAAAAGTACCAAAATTTTAATTTACTAGTTCAAAGAGACATTTGTAGACCTTGTTCGATGTTTGAAAAGAGGTCTAAAATGTTTTGTTTTGCAAAAAAATAAAAAGTCCCATTGTTCTGTCAATTTGAGAACCGATTTCGATTTTTTGAGTTTGAATATCATCAGGTACCTAAAAAAACTTTCTCGGCAAACACTGACCATATCATCATTCAAACTAACTACCTAAATCATTTGTCTTATAATGTGATGGATATTCAATGACTTTGTCGTATACAATTCAATCTTATTTCGTCTCCACATCATTTCTGTAATTCAATTTCATTTTACTGGTATCAATCTAGGGAAAAAATACGTGTAGAAGTAAAAAACATTCTGGCTTTTTACTTCTCCATCATTCAACAAAAAATTTGAGAAACTTCCAAAGAAAGAAAGAACACAATTAAAATTAAAACTGTTGACTAACAGGTGTAGATCATACATGAAGTTTACTTCAGATACAAACTGAAAATAAGTCTCTCTGAAAAAAATACTTTCATAAATATGGGCAATGGACAAGCACATCACATTAGTACTCCAAACATTCATAATGCAACTGAAACAAATATCATTCACAAGAACAAAATGTAATAGATGAAAAAATATCTGTTTGTATCTGTTTTTAAAATGTGTTTTTCCGTTAACCAGCTGTCGCACCCTATGAACGACAACCCTCAGAATTCGAAACTTGTGCGAGCTTAGGATCAACGAGTTCTTACCTTTTAACGTGTGATTCCTAAATATTGAGATAAAATTTCACTTACATGGAAATCTTTTAAAATCTCGATGTAATTCGAAGTTCCGGGACAAGACACTTATATCTCTTCATCAGCAGAAATTTAATAGATTTTAATGTAAGTGAAATGTTTCAACTATATTTGTTTATGTTACAATTCCATTATGAATGTTTTAGTGTGTGAGTCAATGTTCATATTCATTTTGGACTTTTTTTTCCAATTTATATCTGAAAGAAACTTTTTTGCAAGATCTGAATATATTTGTAAAGAGTTATTATTGTTTTTACTTTTACTTTCATTTCACTATCGTTGAAACTATTGTTTTATACCTTTTTCAGTAGCACAGATTCATAAATTTTGAAATAGAACTTAACTGATTTTTTCAAAAACATTATTTTCAGAACAAGAATACTTGAAAGTGATAGAACTGCTTCATGTTCCTCTTCAGTCTATTTACCAGAAATTGGTGCAAACAAATACCAACGATTTTATCAAAGAAAACGGCAATCCTTTGCTTTTCAAGAATATATAATTTTTTTTGAAATAGGTCTTTCATTCATACGATTTTTGTTAGTGTTTTGTTTGTTGTAGATGAGATAAGCCTTATATCCTGATTGTTTTAAATATAATTATATTTTAGCAAAAAGTTTACATGAATTTTGAGAGCTTACAATATTAGAAACAACTGTATATCTTATTTATTTGATAGCATTTTATACATACCAAGTAGATAGAAATAGCAGTTATATTTATTAATACTTCGTGTGATTTTGGATGTGATTTCTTTTACAGTGCGAAATTATGTACTAATAATTGTGATATATTGTTTACGAAAGGAATCTGTTAATTGTACTCATTGAAGAATTTACACATAATAAACCCGTCATTCCATTTTATACATAGTTTCATTCAACGTGGCAAGCCACTGTAATACATGATGTTTTTAAAAATTTACTCCCATTCTGTTTGAATATATAGCAGGTTTTTTTCATATCTTTAGTGTAGCCACTGATCCTGGGTCATTTGTGGAACTATTTGTTGATCTGGAGAATCTAAAAAAACATAATCGTCTCCTGAAGTAATAAGGTTGAATACTCACCTAGCATAAATTTTCTTGTATATCAACAAAAATAGAAGAGGAAACGGTGTGAGAATTCCGATAGATACTGGAACAACTGAAACAAAAATCAGCATGTTTAGCGAATTTTCCTTGTTCTGTTTAAAGTTCTGAATTACCAGTTGTCAGATCAGCCTCAGGTTGTGGCAGAGAGAACCTAAGTAAAAATATTGCTATTCCTGTATTTTGAATCCCGATTTCAATGGCAATAGCTGTACAATCTGGTGGAGGTTGTCTTAAAAATTTTGACATTAGAAATCCTGCCAGGAACCCCATCCAAGGCACTGCCATACCAGCTACGATTATCTGAAAAGAAACTTGAATCAAATAAGCCTGATGAGTGTACCGAAGAGGGATATATTAGAACGAAGAAAATAAAAATTTTGAATATGAGCATTCACCTCTCTGTGTCCTTATTTAGTAGGTTAACTTAACTAATGATATTGAGTTACATCTGACAGAAGTTTTGCTTTTGAGTCCGTAAACTGAATAGGAATTATTTAATTCACATATGAATAGGCTTTAAACTCAACAATGCTCAGGCTTCGACAGAGTTCCCAGTTTTTTTCTTAAAAGGATTTTATAATATATTATAAACCCTGTTACCTTTTTGGAATATTTCCCGATAATTACAAGTTTGGTAAAGTTTTCCCCTCTTTATGAAAACAAAAAGAAATTAAGTGTCTAATTACAAACAAATTTCAGTTTATGTCTCTGTTAAAAATTGGATTGAGTTTTTTTTCTTGGAAATGATTTTTGAATAGGAATCAAAATGGATTTAGAAACAGTAGATTAATAATTACGGCCATTAATTCTTTTTATCACATTATCGTGAAATATACTGAGGCAGGTGAGTGCCCTCTTGGGGTATTCTGCGATCTGAGCAGGGCTTCGATTGCGTCCAAAATTTATTTAGATAGCCCAATACGGAATGTGCAACGAACTTTTGAACTGGATAGAAATGTGACCATTCAGTAGAGCACCATATTAACTTCAATTGAGTGGAAGTAGAGTGTGGGGTACCGCAAGGGTCCGTATTAGGGCCTATTGTATTTAAATGACATTAGGTATATCTCTGTGGATGATGTGTACATTTATGCTTTTGTGATATCTGAAAAATTAGATAATGCTCTTTCATCAAAAAGTAATAGTATATACTGAATGATGCAATCAGATAGTTCAGTGAAAAGTCTCATCTCAACATCTGTATTTGGGTCAGCTGAATTAAGTGAGATGTGATGATTGAATTCTTTGGAATTTATTTCGTTAAAAACCTATCTTTCAGAAATCACTAAATAGATGTTTTTTTATAAATTGAACACACCGATATACATGTTTACGAATCTATGCACTATTCTGGATGAGCAGCACCTTATTTCTGTCAATTACACACAAATAGAGATGAGCCGGCAATAAAGAATAATTTTCTGGAACTGATCCGCTTTCACTTATAAAGTCTCTCCAGTACAAAAAAGAATTATCAGAGCAATTGCAAAAGTATCTAATTCCCATTCGTGTGTGCACTTTAAAATTTTAACTATTCGCTGTGTATTTATTTTTGAACTTTGTGTTTATGTTTATTCAAATAAATTGAGCTTGTTAAAAATATACAGGCGTCAATAAATATAACGTAAATGCCCCAATTTCGTAGGGCCACGGTTATTCAATAAGTTACCGAACTTTATTACCAATTCGCCGACTTTAAATATGTTTCAATCTGTTTTTCCATTAACCAGCTGTCGCGCCCCTACGAACGACAACCCTCAGAAGTCGAAACTAAGCGAGCTAACGACTAACGAGGTCTTACCTATTAACGTGTGATTCCTATCATGGGAAAATCGATTGTTCAGCCTGCGGCTTGAACCATCGACTCACACATCGGTCGAATGAGAGTGAACGAAGCACCCACGTCGAACCGCCCGGCTACCGACCTGTTTTCAAAAATAGATTTAAGGATAAGCCTATGAAAATTTTATTTATGGAATACTCTTCATCGGAAGTTGATAGATAAAAATAATAATTTATATTCGTCCATATTTCAATGTATTTTTAGTTGATGAAATGATTCTAACACTTCTGTGTATCTGACGAATCCCTCACAATTTACGTTGTCGAGTGGATAATAAATATTATTATTATCAAAATGGTCGTCCAATATAATGATATATTGAACCGACAAAATCATGGTTCTTCTTTTAAATCAAAATACTTATTGATACCTGCTTCTTTTGGAACATAAAACATAAAAAAGTTACCTGTACCTTGGATCTAAAATATTCAACATTCAAATTGGATACCTCGATGGAAGATGACAGAAATATATCAATTTTCAAGTCAAAGTCAAAATAACTGGGGTATCTGCATTGTGGTGTATTTTAATTCGTTCTAACTACTATAGATGCTTTGCTGTTATACTATTTGAATTTTCGTTTTATAAACCTCAAGTGACTTTTCTTGTTACTGCACACAATTTTTTATAAAGAGAAGGTTACATTTTTAATGAGAGAAGTAGATATCATTAACATATACTGTCCTGAAAAATACTCCGTGACCCCTTTATAGGTGATCTCTCGGTTGATTTGAGAGAAATCCTTCTGTTGGACAAACAGAAAGCTTCTCCTAACATTTTCTATGTGGGAGAACTTGCACGAATTTCCGTCGGATATATTGCAATGTCCGTCATGCTATTACTCAGGGAATTCTTCTACGACTATTTCCGTTAGGATTTTGCCTAATAATAGTAGGAGTAGGAATGTTAGAAGAGATGAATGTTTTGAATTTCAGTTCTAGATATAAAGTTTGTTTGAAGAGTAATTAACCTCCCTAAACATCATGGATCAAGGTGATCTGTGAAGGTGTTTTTGAATAAGAATATTTTTCAAGAACTTCGTATGAATTCTAAAATTCTATAAGTTACTTCCTCAGAGTATTGATAAAAAAGTTATTTTCTGCCAAATTTTGTAAATACCTTTTACATTTGTGATTGTAATAGATTGTTCTTTCCTCTCATCCATTCTACCATATGTGTAGAATCAATTATTATTATCATATAGTAAAGAAACTTTGAAACAAAACATCAAAACTGCTGTTATTGTTTGTTCTCACCTGCCAAGAAAATATATTGAATAACCACATATTCGTCACACTAGCGAAAATAATAATAAATATTAGCAAACAAATCGATAATATTTTCATAATCCTGACCAAGTAATTTGCGACCTTTCTCAAATATCTCTGGATAAGGTATCCAATACCCAGCGGAACCAGCAAAGCTATAACATAGCTAAAAACTTGCGTATAGGGCACTGCTAGGTTTCCGCTTTCAAAAATCAATCGACCTAGTGTGAAAATCCAAAAGGGCATCATTGCGAAAGCTGCGATTGTGCTAACTGCGGACATGGCTATGGAAAGGTTGATGTTTCCGTCTAAGAGTAGTGTCCAAAGGTTTGAAGCGCCACCACCTGGAGAGGTCCCTGTGAAGAACATTCCAAGTTGCATTGCTGGGCTTGTCGGAAACAACAGTTTTCCCAGTCCATAAGAAAGCTGAAAAATATAATGTAAGTATTCAATTATTTTAATCTTAAGTTAAGCCTAGACTAACCAATGGCATGAATATATACTGCCCACAAAAGCCAATGATAGGTCCTGTGGGTTTCTTCAAAATGTGTTTCAAATCACCCCAGTTCATAGCACACCCAAAGTTGATATAAATCAAACTCACTAAACTGGCTACGGAAGCAGTGAAAATGACGTCGATTATTCTTTCTTTGCGAATAACTATGACTTCTACAATAGTTTCTGTTGTGTTGTTCCTTTGTTGACTTTTGCATAAAAGGAAGGTTTTTCCTGAAAAATTAATATAAACCTAGTTTTTTTTTAACACCATTGCTTCACTCACCTAAAAATATTCCGTTTATTTCAAATGTTCCATTTTGTTTCAAAACTAATGTTTCATTTTCCAAAGAAGCAATGTTTATATTTTCACTATAAAGGATACATTTTTCTTGAGCTGAAAACAAACAACTAATTTAAATGAAATATATATCAGTAAGCAACGGTATTTTTCATATTATAAATCGGAGCAACACATGGGTATTGCTCAATTTAACAATTCATTATATAAAATATTCTCTAGGTTCACCTAACCACCAAAATTTGTTTCAAGTTCGAGAGAATTAGCCTAGTATTGAAGAACCACAAAAAATGGCGAAAACTGTGGCAGTACAGATCAGCTCCAAAATTTGTCAGTACAAACCAACAGTACAGGTCATTCTATCAAGATAAATGTCTAAATATTCCTTTTTCATTGACAAAAATATTCTAGACACTTCCAATCGTTTTTGAACAATAGTGTCAGTTTGTCAGAAAAACAGTAGATTGATACAAAAAAACACTATAGATAAATATCACATAAATGTTAATTTCCACTATTTACAGTCAAGAAACTGGGTCAGCAGTATATTTTCAACTCTCAAACAGTAGATCAGTAGCTTGAGAGCTAAAACAGAAGATCTACTTCATAAACAGAGGACCTGGCAACACTGAACACGGCGCTTCTCTCGTACGATTTCTTCTTCATCTGCAGTGAACTGATCCTACAACCACAGTATAGCTTGCTTTCTACTGTGCCACAACGTTGTTGTGATCTGATCCGCAATATTTCATATTCTAATTGCATTCTGCTTCGTTGTTAAAGATTTGATCTTCTTACTCGCAGCATGGCAAGTAACACTGTGATGGATATTGCGGATTTTGCTTCTATTATGACATAACAATTATCCATACGATCATAAATCCACAAATGTCACACCCCAATCACAGCCTCAGTCGTCTTTGCGCGCCTTGGTATCTGTCATAACCTAACAAACCGAGTTTCGTCAATTCATTTAAATCTTCGGTTTTCAAATGTTTTATTAGGTATTCTGTTTTACCGGGGGGGCGGAGGCAAATTAAACGAATCAAAAATCATGAAAATCAGTCCAGTGGTGTAATTAACACGATTTTGCGACTTTTTAGCATGTATTAGAATATTGTTTGATTTTTCGAAAGTTTTCATAATTATTCAGCTATTCTAGAAGGAGAATATACCTAGCAAATGAAAAATCACTTAAATTGGTCCAGGTTTTCTTGATTTATTAATGGTTTAGTTAAGGTGAATTTATGCACACTCTATTAGCAAGTAGCGAGTAATACATTTCAATTATTGATTAGGAAGGAGTAAGTAGAAAAAATGATCGGAATTTATGCATTTCCAATCATTAAGTCACAAAAAGAAATCTTTAATATCGACTATGGCTTCTGATGGCCAAACAGCGGCCATGGAGTTCCTTCTAGATCTACCTCCTCTCCCGATTTTTTGGAGAGAGAGGCTAGATGGACTCTATATGCAGTCCATTGTGCACATTGCCAATTGCACAAATCAATTTAATACAGAATGCAACAGACTGTTGGTTGACACTGGAAATAACCCCTGACTTTATGCCTACACCTGTCAACTACGAACTGCCTTATAAAGTACTGTTCCCGAGTAAAGAGGACTGGATCCTCCGGGAGAAGGAAATATTAAGAGCAGATAGTTGTTGTTTCACAGATGGATCAAAAACAGCTTCCGGTTCCGGTGCAGGTGTTTTCAGTCGCAGACCCATGACAGATATCAACCTGCCTAGGAACCTATGCGACTGTATTTCAAGCGGAAATATACGCTATTGAATTGTGTGCGGAGAGATCGGAAGAATCCAACATCATACACAAATCAATAAAAATATTCCCAGGCAGTCAAGCGGCGTTGGAAGCTCTTGGCTCCTACCGAGCAAACGTCTTAATCGGAAGCATATTGCCAACAACGACTCTCCTCGATAGGAAGACTTAACAGATTGTCTCTGGTCTGGGTTCCTGGCCATACTGGTCTAGAAGACAGTGAGGCTGCTGACTCGCTTGCAAACAAGGGTGTTGCAAGTAGCTTCTACGGACCAGAACCTGTCATTGGCATCGCTTTAGGCCTTGCCAAACAAAGATTGAACATCTGGATTGCAAGAAGATTTATGGACTTCTGGCAGAATCTTCCAGGATTGGCGCACTCCAAGGGGTTTATTCACCCTTCGAAGCTTGATACCAAACATTTGTTGGACTACAGTAGGGATTAACTAAGATGTATAACAGGCCTTCTTACAGGTCACTGTCGTTTGAATCATCATATGCAAAGTCTCGGACTGTCGGAAGACAGTGTGTGTCGCCTCTGTTTGGAAAATGATGAAGCAGCAGAGCACACACTTTGTGCCTGCCCCGCTGTGGACGGAATCAGGTTTTTAGAGTTCGGCAGAGCCGTACTCTCACCATCTGACCTGAAAGACCACTTACCACACAAACTAATCGGCTTCGTTAAGAAGATGGGTTTATTTGGTCGAGTGTGAATATGTGTGAGCCACAATAAACCCTTACGGGTTGCAGTGGAGGGTCGAATAGACTTACTCACTTTGGACCTAACCTTACCTATAATATCGTGTATTTTTTAACATCATCATTTTCCATTTTAGCGATTATAGAAACAAATTATTTAATAAATGATGAAACTGAACAGGACACAGCCTAGAATGTTTCGAAGTTGGAAAATTATCAGGTTAGGTTATTCCTTACGAAAGAGCTGAAGGGCCACATATTCTTATTATTTGTTTATTGGAAATTACGACTCTAAAACTCGAAATTTCGGCTTTAAACTGTTGTGAAATGAATGAAGATTCGAAACAGGAAAGATATGATTACATCACTGACTGATACTTAGTCATAAAGAGATTCTCACTTTTACCGTAAAATGTGTACATTTCCCAAAAAGTTAGGTATATATGTGAACTGAATAGAATGTATATGTACATTTCCCGGCAAATGTGTACTCTTGCCTTCACGTTTTGGTAAATGTATACTCTTACCTTCATGTTTTAAGAAAAGTTGGAATACAAATAAATTAAAAATGTTGTTGCAATAAAAAAATATTTATTTAAATAAACATAATACAAAAGGCTTCATTAACGAAAAATATTTTAATTAAAAAATGTAAATGACAAACAAAGCATACTTTTCTTTGCATATTATATAATATATCGTAGGTTATGATCCCAAAATTCGTAAATACAATTTTCGTCCTAGTTTTTCAGGACCAATACGATGGGAATCAAACAAATAATAATAGTAACATACTTTTCTTTATTGTAACAGTTGAATTTTATAAAACTATAAAGAAGCATATAGAAATTTCATAATGAAAAGTTTTATTTATTCGAGCAAGAATTGCTATTGTGGCACCTGGAATTACATAATATTCCAGCATTTTTACAACTGCATTTTTGAGGAACATGTTCCTCTACAGATGCATCTTTCAAAACCTTGTCCACCAGTAAGGGATTGAATTACTATAATTTCTCTTAACGATATCTCAACATCTTGAGGAACACCTTCGTATGATATAAACTTTTGTTTGCAAATGGCGAATTCATGCCTAGAATAAGATTGTTTTGAAACTCTCTGTTTAGTTCCTAATTCATATAAATTTTTTTCGTCATCTCTAGACAAAACAACGGAAATCAAATTTTTTGGATCGATTTTACTACAATCAACGTCTGGAATGGAAACTGTAACATTGTCACCAATCACAGCAGCAGGAAATTTTTCTTTCGAAAGATTACACGTTTTGATAGCTTGATTTTCTAAATTTTCCCTTGCTTTCTTTCAAGCATTATCAATTAAAATTTTCTTCTCGTTCAAAACAGAATTTAACTCAAAACTTCCATCTTTATCTTCAATTTGGTTGCATAATAAACCATCATTCAAAATTATATCTAACGTTTCAATGAAAAATTTATCGTTTTCTGCGACTTTGCTATGTGGTGAATTAGCTCTGTGTACTCCTTCTAGTAATTGCTCTAACTCTTCTTCTGTTTCCAGTTCAACAGATTACATAGGTAAATTTGATGTTTTCAAACCCAATTTCATTCTTGTTCCGAATAATGCTTTATACCCTCATGAAAAGCTCTATTTTTCATCAGTTGAACATATTTTAAAACTTCTGCCAACTTGGTCACATTAATAGCACTTGCGATTTCGTATTTTGTATGCTCACATTTACCAAAACGACATGATCATTGTGAATTCAATGTACATTTCCCTTATTTGAAATTGTAAATGTTAGTTAAATGCACATTACCCAAACGAGGAAGCAAATGTGCACATTTACCTGAAAATGTGTACATTTTCCGCAATACCCACTTTTACCGTAACATATACAATCATAAGAAACATATACATACGACATAAGAACTCAATTTGAAATAATTGTTGTGGCAAATGAGTTGCTTTGAAGGAGAATAATTATTTTTACAAACCTTGATGGGAATAATTCCGGATTTCATAGCTGACCGAAACACTGTCGCCCATATTAACAGTCACAACACTGGGGATGAAAGTAATTTGCAATGCATCTGTATGACGAGAACTATAAAACAATGCGAAAATTGTAACAAATACAACGGGATTCATTGCTGTAGCTTAATGTTTCTCTAAAACTTAATTTTGTCAAACCATAGTTTTCATTTTTTCTTATCTTGAAAACTGAATAATAGCCCCTCATAAATCAAGATTATTCATGACGAATTCATGCACGCATTGTTAGAGAGCCAAAAATGATTGTTTTATATGTGAGAACATATTTCGAAAATGAAGGTGAAACGTGACAAGCGACAGTGTACAGGGAAAACATATTCATCTGACCTATATTTCTAAAAAGCAAGAACGGAATAGACGCAGGCGATTTCACAGCTTTTAGTGAAATTATACTGAAGATATCCATGGTCTGCTTGGTATGCTGTTGAAGATATATCCTTCAATAACGGACCGTAGAATTCAGTGTCAGACTTACTGATTAATCTCCCGAAATTATCTCAAATGTACAAATTACCCTACATTCATATTGCAATGGAAAATTGCAACATGGACCTAACAGTGGAACACCTTTTCACTTGGCAACAACACCAGTAGGATAGAAACGCACGGATAGAAACCGCACCACACTAAATAGCGAATGGAATAATGTCATATAATATGTCAAACGGATCCATGTGTTTAATTTAATGCAATGTATACTGATATAAATTGTAGGTATCTCATATGTACCGCCGCTAATAATCCTGTGTGGTTGATGCGGATTGAAATCTAAATAAAAAAAAAATCAGGTATTGTGTTAGACAACAGAATAACATAAATATCATAAGGCAACAATTCTTCATATACCTTTTTCAGAACTCAACAATAAAGCCGTGAAAGAAATTAAAACTATCAAATATTTGAATTTTAAATTATAGCAAACTCAGATCGAAAATTACTTCCTTTGATTGGTCGTATTATTTCAGTACCTAATCAAAATGTCGATATTTGTACGAAATACTCAGTAAGAATATTATCAATTTTCATTGAAAAAATTATCCAAACAAAAAACCTGAATGGTAATCAGAGGCATCGTAAAACCTGGATAACATCAGGATTAATCAAATCAATTACGGAAAAAACCCAAGTTATATGACGAACATGAAAAAGACCATTCTAACATTAAAAAAGGAAACATTTGTAAGTTAAAAAAAAATGTTTAAAATATGTTTTTCCGTTAATTAGCTATCGACCCCATACGAACGACAACTCTCAGAAGTTGAAAAACTTGTGCGAGCTAAAGATTAAGGAGGTGTTACCTTTTAACGTGTGATTCCTGCCCCTAGAAACAACCGTCTACTTTACTCATTTTATTTATCACCTGTAGGTAGGCGAAAAAGAGCTTGTAAACTTCATATAAACTAAAAAATATATAAGAAAGCACCTGGGCACCAGATGAAATGAAGGCCTTATCAGATATTTCTCCATTGCCGCTCCATTTGATTACCAATTATTTTCAACAAGGTGTATTTCAAAAAAAAAATAAGCAAAATGTAATCACCTATTTACTAAAAAGGGTATAAGAAAAAAGTCAGTAACTACCGGCCAATTTCTTTGATATCCACATTCTCAAAAATATTAGAAAAGGCCATTAAAGCTAGGTTATTGAATTTCATCAACAGGAAGATCAAACAGTTGGATCTTCCTCTTGAAGATAAAGGTGATCGAAACAGTGTCGAGGTGTTAAAATAACGGTTTGGTGTTGGGAAAAAACTCCAGTAATATTCATTACTACACCAAAGGTTCCAAATAGTGCATCACAAGTATATAATAAATATTATGGAATCGCGAATTCTCATTCTGAGGTTTGTCTAGGTTAATAAAAGCTATATACAAGTATTTGAACGATTCGAAGCCGCCTCTCTGTGTATTCCTGGATCACGCTAAGACATTCGACACAGTGAGTCATTTGTAGCTGTTGAACATCTTGAAGGATATCGGTGTGAGGGGGATTGCTTTAAATATCTTCTAAAATTATTTGTAAGCAGAGTTCTAATGATGAAAATACACGATACGTAGATATAGCTCTAGTGAACAAATCACTTATGGAGTGCCCCAAGGTACAGTTTCGGGACCTGTACTCTTTTTACTTTACATACATGACTTTTTATATCTAAATAACAAAGGTGAGGTTATAAGTTTCGCTGACGACATAGCTTTCTTATATACTGATGACAGCTAGTCAAATCTCAAAGTCTCGGTACAAAGTAATCTTAGAAAAGTATTCAACTGGTTTAGACCTAAACAGTTAACTATGGGAAAACATTTTTCGTTCCTTTCACCAGTAATAAAAATAAGTTACGAACTTTTAATACTCCGGAGATAGCTAGTTGAAGACTACAAAGATGATGCTGGTAATATCAGAAAAAATATATACGAATACAATCTAAAAATAACATCAAATTTCTTGATAGATTGAAAATTTAGTACTGAGTACATCATTTCTTCATTAACATTTTTCACCAGGTCATATTTGGGGACGAGTGAAAGTTTAAGAAGGAAAAATTATGTGGAAGAGGTGTTTTTTTTTCTATGGCCGCACTATTTTGGAGGATTGAAAATTCAGTATTTAGTACATCATTTTCCCATCAAACCTGAAACAAGTGAAAAATATTGATGTGTGTGTTGATTGATGTGTAAATTCGTTTAAGAAGGAAACAATTATTCATCTGGTGTAGAGGGGGTATTTTATTATGATCTCACTATTTTGAAGGAGTGAAAATTTAGTATTGAGTATATCACTTCTTCGTTAATATTTTTCACTAGGTCATATTTGAGACCAAATGACAGTTTGAGAAAGAAGTTGATAGTGGAAGTTAATAAGGCCATTTTCCTACTCTAGAATTACCTTACGAGAACCTCAAATGAACTACATCAACTCACTCCTTCCAAATTTTTTTCTGTTTTAGTGTTTTAGGTGGAAGTTATGGTAAGATATTATTTCTGTAAAAATCTGTTTTTCCGTTAAGCAGCTGTCGCTTCACCTTCCCCCCCACGAACCATGATCCTCAATAGTCGGAACTTGAGGGTTAACGGGATCTTACCTTTTAACTTGTGATTCCCAGCATAGGCAGATATTAATTTTACCTTTTACTTCATATTCACTTCGAAATTTTTGTGCATATTTTTATTTTCCTGTATTATATGCCTCTCCCGTGGTTGTTTTTTCATCACAGGTAGAACAGGTTTCACTGAATAAATTCATGAACCAAGTAGGAGGGACTTTTAATTATGTTACAGACAAATGAATATTTTCCCTGAATAGCAATTCTTTAGATTTTTAATATCTTGAATTGAATTTTCTCAAAAATCTCTGATTGTTTGAAAGTAAAATATACACTGATAATGTGGCTTTATGTAGATGAAAGAATTTCAAAAATCGAATGAATAGTTTTTCGAAAAATATAGATTCCTATATACCTACGTATAATTTCTCGGTAAATATTCATTCATTCAAACACTTGAAATGGACTTTATAGCTTAATTACCTACGTAACGTAACGTTTATTTTTAACAATTCGTTAAACTAATACATAGAAGAATGCAATTCCTATAGATATTTTTGTTTGTAAATTTTATCGGAGAGCCATTAAGTTTCATATTTGATGAATTAGTAAAATTAATAACCAATTCGTGGTTGTAAAATACATTCTCCACGTTTTCGATAAATTCACCAATATATTTATTGTGCAATAAATTGATAAGTATGATAGTGCCAATAAACGGGTTTTGAAGTACCCACGCATGAAATGTATGAAGTAGAAGTCATTTAATCACAGTAAGTAAAACATTTACGTTGTAGAATAAATATGACAAATTTAGGGCAGGAAATTGAAACTACCCTCATTTTTACCTATTTCTACAAATGTATTTCATACGTTTTCAATTTCACTTTGCAGGTGTCTCTTGAATAAGTTCTGGGAAACCTCTTTGTGATTTTTGACATAATTCTGGTATGGAAACCGTTTTCTTTTGCTATACATTGGGGTCATTTTTGATTCCTTTGCCTCATTTTAAACTCCTTCTCAAAAAAATCTTCAATCACCGAGTCTCACATAAATAAAACTAATTTTTTGAATAACGTTCCTTCACAAAAACATATCTTGGAGGAAAAAGTTACAAAAAACAACACCGTCATCATATCTCAGCCGCTGTATTCACCAGATTTGGCCCCAAGTTTGAAGTCACTCATGAAAAGACGGCGTTTTGCGACGATTGAAAGAGCTCAAGGACATACCAAAAATTGCATATCAGAACTACTTCGAAGATTGGAAAAAACGTTGGCACAAGTGTATTATACTTTTAAGGGGACAAAATAGAAGTTGATGAATATTTAAAACTGATTATCCACTATCAAATAACAATAACAATATAGGCATAACAGCTTATTATAGGCCTCTCGAAACTAATCCTCAAAGCTTTATAAATAACCTACAAGAATATTTGGAAAGGCTAACCAAACAAAGTGTCGAGGTGTTCTTAGGTGATATAAATATCAATATCATGAATAACAAAACACAAATCACAGAATCAATAATTGACCATATTTTTAGAAGAAAAGAAAAATGTTTGGATAAATCAATCAAAACTGGCCCAATTTTATTTCATACTGATATGACAGATCATTTCACCCCTTATACTTCTGTAGAGTACCTTGGAACGACAAGAAACAACACTGAAATATTTGATTATAAAAAAATATATAAAACAGATTTAGTCGAATTAAACTCACTTTTAAATGTAGAAACCTGGGAGGATATTATCACTCTTACAGATCCACAGATCTTTTGAAAAAAAAAAACTTACAAAAAAGCACACAACCGAACGTGGAAGAGAATATAAAGAATTCAGAAATAAAGTGAACTCTCTAATAAAGAAAACAAAAAATGACTTTTATCGAAACGAAATAAAGCAATCGGGTGGAAATTTAAAGAAAATATGGGATACATGCAATAACATATCAGGAACAAAAAGTAAAAATACGGTCAAAAGCATTCAAATTACAGATTCAAATGGTCAAACTATTAAGGATAATCAAGAAAAAGCTAACTCTTTCGATACATTTTTTATTGAACTGGGCAAAAAAATGGCGAACGATGTAGAAAAAGTTACTCTACCCAATAAATTCCTAGAAGACACATAAATTGATTCTTCTATTTTTCTACAACCCGTAACAGAAAACGAAATTATAACTCTGATTTTGGAACTCAAAAATAATTGCTCTTCTGGACCTGACAGTATCCATACAAAATCGATAAAAATATTCACATTCACATTATAAAACCTCTCTGTCACATCATAAATGTGTCCTTTCTGAGTGGTGAAGTTCCAAAACAATGGAAAGAATCAACGGCCACCCCTATTTATAAAACAGGAAACCATGATGCTCTAAACAATTACAGACTGATCTCAGTTATTAATAACTTTCGAAATGGCACTAAAGTATAGATTTCTAGCGTTTTTTGACAAACACAATGTAATAACAGAAAAGCAATTTCGGTTTATCAAAAATTCCAGCACTGAGGAGGCCATCAACAATCTTCTAGAACAAACAGTCAGGGCATTGGACAGATCATCAAAATGTTTGGCAATTTTTCTTGACCTGGCCAAGGCCTTCGATACTGTTTCACATCACAAGTTAGTCGTTAAATTAGATATGTATCGAATACGAGGAGTAGCTTTAGACCTTGTTAAAAACTATCTCACAAATAGAACTCAAAAAGTTAAACTAGGTCAAGTTTTAAGCAATGAATTTATTGTAGAAACTGGAGTACCACAAGGGACAGTATTGGGCCCAATACTGTTCCTTATTTATATAAATAGTTTGTCAAAAATCAGATACTTCAAGGGACACCTTATTTGCTATGCCGACGATACCGCTTTTTTCTTCACCGGTAAAAATTGGAATGGAGTTGCAAGTTTTGCAGAAAGTGATTTGGAGAAGGTGCGACTGTGGTTGAATGATAATTTACTGAGCCTGAACCTACCTAAAACAAGATGCATAACATTCTCTCCAACTATTGTTGAGAGAAAATATTTAGGTGTTATTATAGATAAACATTCAAGATGGAATGATCATGTTACATATATTACAGAAAAAAATTCGAATATTATTTCATAAATTCTATTCCTTGAATTCTATTCTATTCCTTGAGGGATATTCTAAGGAATAAAACGCTTATGATGTTATATAATGCACTAGCCGAATCAATTATAACATATTGCATAACAGCTTGGGGTGGAACATTTGAAACTACACTTAAAATATTCAAATTGCTCAAAATATGTTATAGGAATTGATCCTCAGAAAAAATGGACTTATTCCACTGTTTCATTATACAAAGAGGTGAATGTCGTGAGCTCTACGAATATCATGGCCTTAAAAAGATGTTTTTTCGAAATAAAACTTTTGAAAATCATAACAGTAGAATAAGCAGATCAAAATCTATCCAAAATATCTATTCACAACTTTTCAAAAAAACAATTACTCAAAGGTCGTTCTTTTATTTCGCACCTAAATTATACAATGCCTTCCACTTGAACTGAAATCTATAAAAAAAATTTATAAATACAAGCAATACATAAAACAATTTATAATGAGTCATCCTGAAAAAAAAACGATGTTCTGTTTCAATAAAATGTCTTTCCCCTCCTCTCGTCGTCATACTCGCCTTCTTTTTGTTTGCTTACTCTGAAACACTCGTTGATTAAACATTTATTGTACAATTATATGAAGAAAGAAGTTGAGATTGGGTCCTAGCACAGGCATTTCATGCCTAGATGCCCTTGTCTCTTACTGGTATTCTTCGCTATTAATAATTTATAATAGTTGATAAATGTACACTACACTTATTGGAATAAACTTCAAATATTTTTTTGGGAGAAATGAAAATTCAACCTTATTTTCTGTACAGACAGCGAATAAACTACAAATGGCATTCATAAAGTCAGAGAGAGATGAAATTCGTTGCATATTGGTTTCAAAATACAGAAGACTCAAATTAGAATTCAATCAAATTCTAGTTTTACCCTGAGAGTTACTTACTCTCTTTATAAGTCATAGGTTTATTTTCTTTATCCTTCTACTGCTTCGCTCTGAGAAAATACGAACAGAGAAAAGAAGCAAATCAGAGAGTTCTTTCAAGATACCATTAACGAAAATTACAGGAATAGAAGGGTTATCCCCAATTCATAAAGCTGAAATATGCTGGAAATATCTGAAATCTTCTCCTTCATTTAATTATTCGAATTTACTTGTTTCATTATGAAAATAGAAAAAGTGAAATACTCAAAAAATAATTAATTTTATTGAGAATTCTACAGTCAACATTTTTTATAGAAATATATATAATACACATTCTCGCAAACTTCACAAATTTATAATCCGACATGTAAAATTAACAAAGAATCAATAAAAAAACAATTTTATAAAATCAAAAAAAAATACTGCACAATTATTAAGGGGTACTCTCAGGCCTATCACAAAACTACAATTGAAACTGATAATGAAACAGTAGCTAGGGCAACGTGGTTAGTTCCTCGTTGAGATGATTTATACTCTTTATTGGTTCTTCTTGACAATTTAACTTGGAGTGAGAGGGGTATAACCTGAAAAATAATAATTGAGTCAGTTATCAGTGAAATGAATACCCAACAAAAAACCTACGAATTGGGGGATCTACCAACCTCGATTTGAGTTTCTTCAGAATCAAAAGACCCAATAAAGGAAACGGTGTCAGTACTGCAACAGAAACTGGGGCAACTGTAAAAACAATAAATGGTTAACAACGAAATAATATCCACTTCATAATTTGATGGGTAAAATGTTGTTCTCACACCAGAACGAAAGACTGTCTTAGTTTCATAGACCAGAGAAGTCTAGTGTCGCTCAAGATGTCTTAGAGAATTGCCTAAGTGTCTCAGCAATTCAAGTGAGGAACACTTGAATTGCTGATGTCTCAGCAATTCAAGTGAGGAACACTTGAATTGCTGAGAAAAACAGTAAATTATTCTAGGAAATAATTCACTTTTGGTAAGGTGATTGTCCATCCAGATGTATATAAAAATATTGAGATAACCGTAAAATTTAGTTTTTGCCATTTCTTGGTTAGCGAAACGCACGTGAAGATATAGTATTTTGTTCTGATGCGGAAAGTGTTACAAAGGATAAAAACCATTTTCGTAATATGAAAATACAGAAATCACATAATATATGATTTCTGCTTATAGTATAAGCTCATATTTATTTGAAACAACTACTGAAGAATTGATTTCCATCATTGATGAAACTTTTTCCCAACCTACTGAAGGTACTGGTGAAATTAATGGCAAAGTTTAAAAACAGTGGCTGTCTATATTGTAGAACCTTTATCACATTTGATTAATGAATATTTTATCCTACATATAAATCCTGACATAAAGAAATTTCTATATATAAAAATAAAGTGTTGCCAAGTAATTTGAAAAATTATTGGTTAATTTGCATACCCAGCCAGATACCAAATATGTTTGAATGTGCGTATGATGTGAGATTAAAGAACTGAGGAACCTTTTGACATGTTACCTACCATTGATTTAGAATGGGTTTTGGAAGAAAAAATCCACCATTACAGAAGTTGAAGTTTTTTTATAATTCACTCAATGACAAACAAAACACCATAGGGATCTTCTAAAATTTTAGTCTTTTATTTCCCAAACTAGACAGAATGGCATTCATGGTCAACCACTGAAATTAATAGTCTATTCTGATCACTTTAATGAAATGGATAAAAACAACACTTTTGTCTAATTTCCACTAGTTATTTTCATTTATACCACTGGTTTCGGGTTTAACCCCATTATCACGTATAAAACTAAAATGTGAAATTTGAAAACTCGGTTATATCGGGAGTTTTTAGGTAAGATAGAAGGACAGGTAGTTAAACGAACCAGGGTGCCAACTATAAAGTTCAACACTGAAGATTTTAGGGGTGGAGGCCTACATAAATCGAGTTGCTCGTTTAGGGGTAAGTATATATTTCAGGTTTTTAATTGATTTGTTAATTTCTATGGCTTCCAATCAATTAATAACCTGAAATATATACCCCTAAACGATTTATATAGGTCTAATCTCCACTTAACTAGTGGAAATTAGACAAAAGTGTTTTTATTCATTTCATTAAAGTGATCATGAATTACCACAAAATAAACAAGTCATCAATCACACATAATTAGTCTAACGTGAGAAATCGTACACTAGTATAGTGATAACCAATCAAGCTAAATCTAATCTCCTACAACCGAAGGTGGGAGAACCTCAAGGTTCGATACTAGGACTTTTGTTATTCACCATTTTTGTCAGCTATATTTACTATTTTTGTGAATTTCCACACAACAAATTATACAGTATACAGATCAATTCGACCAACTTGTGAAGAAACTCAACATTGATTCAGTTATTTCCTTTAATATTGTGTGTGGAAACCATAAAATTTTTAGGAATGAATTTGGACCATAAACTTAATTCGGAAGCTCGTATTACCCAGATATCTTCAAAATTAGGTGCCCATTATTTTATAATTAACAATATTAGAGAAACAGTATAAAATATTATAATTGAATATAGTTGTGCTGAGTTCAGTCAACTTTTGTCTGTGAATTTAGAGAATTGAAGATCGGTCAATATATTTTCCTACATCCAGCAAATACTAACTACTATGCAGACAATTAGTAAAATCAAATTCATTGAATATAATGAAGTGAAATCATTATTATTAGGTTGTTTCAAAAGTCTAAACTGTAATATGTCAGTGAATACTTATTTAATTCAATCGAAATAAGCGCCATTTGAATTGGTGTTGGAGCACTGTTGCCAACGTGACACAAATCGATTAATTAGGTCAGTATAAAAATTAAGTATTTGGGATTCGATGAAGTCGACGAAGGCCGTGTTTGCCCGGTCCTGATTGGCGAAGGTTCTACCGGTGAGAAAGTTATCGAAGTGCTTGAAAATATGGTATTCGGTTGGCGAGACCGGTTGGCTATTCGTTTTATTTTTGGACGATAATTTATGAAACGTGTGGACAAGCATTGTCGTGGAGCAGGATCAGACCTCTTCTGTGTGGACCAGTGCCGGCTGCTGCTGACGCAATCTTCGGTACATTTCGATGATTTCCTCACAATCTGCTGTGATAGTCTGGCCCAGTTACAGGAGGTTATAGTGAATTACACCAGCCGCTGACCACCATACAGTGAGCGTGGTCTTTTTTTGATGGGTTTTCACATTTGGGAAGTGCCTGGGTGGCTCATCGGTGTCCAACCTCTGTCCTGGACGTCTCCTGTTGCCGTAGAGGATCCACTTTTCATCACCCGCGACGATCCGATCCAAAAAAGAATCGATCTGGTTGTGCAACAGCTAACAAGAACAGACCTCGAAACGTGGCATTTCTGTCAATCATTCAAATCGTGGGGCACCCACTTCTCGAGCTTCTTGACCTTTCCAATACATTTCAAACCACCAAAAACCGCATGGGAGCCGACGCCCAGTCTTCCGCCAACCAGCGCACTGTTTGTGATGGGCAAGTCTCCACCAGAGTCCTCAAATCCTCATCCTGTATTACTGTGGATTGATCATTCTGGGGCTCATCTTCGAGGGTAAAATCTCTGGAACGAAATTTAGCAAAGCAACGTCGAACAGTAACAATAATTTCCAAATGCCTGGTTAAATTTTCGGGCTGTTTCGGCAGCACTTTGGTTCAATTTGAATTCGCAGAGAAAAACTAGTTGAAAATCGCCTAACGACATAATATAGTAATGAGCTGAAAAATTAGGCTAAAAATTGAAATTTGGAAAAAAAAAACGAACAGCATAGATGTATGGAGTACAGAATTATCCATCGACTAACAAAAACATGACATTATAATGGACGAAACTTTTGTAACAACCAATATTATGGACTGAAATCATCATTATTAATACCAAAAACTAACCTGTGGTGAGGTCTGCCTGCGGTTGTGGTAAAGCAAACCTTAGTAAAAATATTGCTATTCCAGTGTTCTGTATCCCAACTTCTATAGCTATTGTCAGAGCATCAGCGTAATTTTGTCTGAACAGTTTTGCCAATAAATATCCTGAAAGATATCCTAACCAGGGCAGCGCCATACCAGAAACAATAATCTGTAAACAAAAAGTATTAAGAGGATTTCGAGTTAATTTGGGAAGATGATAATGAATGATCCATAAGAGTAGGCATATATTTCTAGACTTGCAAATTTTTTTTTGGGAATAAGTGTATATATATAATTAGTGATGCACTGTTTGGAACCATTGGTGTAGTAATGAATATTACTGGAGTTTTTTCCCAACACGAAACCGTTATTTTAACACTTCGACACGTGTTTCGATCACCAAGTGATCTTCAAGGGAAAAATCAAACAGTTTGATCTTACTCTCAAAATTAACAGTTCAAAATTGATATTTCAAAATGCTCAAAGGTGCGAAATCGTTTCCTTATTTTCATAAAAGAGAGTGTATGCATCTCCACTCACAAGCGATTTTGGTCAAAACGTGTGAATCATTGTATTCGTGTTAAGTGCCAGTATGGGGATGCCTGCAAAATGCTGTATAATGTTCGCTGTAAGTAGACCCACTGCGATTCGAAAGTGCATATAGATTATAACGATAAGGAGTCACATTTTCTGCTGCATAATTGTTCATATCTAATCCGTCTAGAGGAAATTCGATGGCAACATTCAACTTGCCTCTAAATCTTTCTGTCTGAGGGAATCTTTTAAAATGAATGACTAAAATATGGTGAAACTTATGGATTGATAGAGACATAGTTCACTTTCTTCTCTCCTTGCATCTCTAACACGTCGATTTTTCATTTCCATCAAAAGTTTTCTCTCTTATGAATTGACATTATGATTGAAAATGTTTCCACACCTATAACGGTCAATCAAAGAATCTAAAATAAATGGAGTTGTTACAGTTAGTTTTTGATAATGGAAAATTTTGAAACTGATACTCTCGATTTTTGTAAAATATGAAATATGTAGTAAAATAGTTTTGCAAAATACTTTCAAATTGATTGGATTAATTAATTTTTGTAAATGCTACAATGTGAGGTTAAGCAAGACTTTCACTTGTCAGTGCAACATATCTCTAAAAAGAAATTGATTTCATTACTTTCTACATGAATTTAAGAATATATTGAAAGAAGGGCATATTCTTTTGAACTCTTTAATTGTTCAACTTTTAATTTTTTGAGTAATTAATATAGACGGTGTCTCATACATGGTACATTTTTTGACTTATTTTTGGATTAATAAAAGAACATAATTTTAAGAGAAATCGTTTTGGAAACAGTGAAAAACTGCAAATGAAGATAAAAAACAAATGAAGGCTGAAATGTCGTTGGGTTTCTTACAATTTTCTTTCTGTAACAAAAGCAAGTGTACAATTGAGGACAGGTAGCCTGATTTTATTAATGTTCATTGCCTTTTCCTTTCCATTGAAATTATTCCTGTGTTTTTGAATTTCTATTGCCTCCCTATATATTCTTGGATAGTATTTTGAGATTTATTGAATATTTCCGTATCTTCGAATGATATGTTAGTGCTTTCTTTGAGAGCATGTTCAGCTACAGATGATTTGTCGGTTTCTCCGAGGCGACAATTTTTTCTGTATTCAGAGAGATGGGTAAGTACCTATACTTTTTTTCGTGGCTACCTGGCTACCTATCCTAAATTGTACACAAACAAGAGTCAGGTTATCCATGTCCACTTGTGATAATATAAAACCAGAGGCAAATTCCAGCATTGTAGTTTCTGCGTTGGGAACAACTCGAACACTTCGACTGTTACCTCATCGCCTTTGATAATGTCTTCCGCAGTAGCAGGCGAAACGTCAGATATATAAACCAGCAGACCACAGACAAAAAAAACACAAAATAGCTTTGACACAGTTTCTAGAAACTATCTATCGTAACATTTTAGATAACAGTAACAATACGAAGGTTATTGAAATCGGATGGTAAATACGCTCTTCCTAACACTGTATGGGGTATACTTGTAAGCCATTCTTGTTAAAAAAAAACGCAACAATGACATTAGATAGTGACTGAGATTTTAAAATTACTCACCGTTATATGAATTGAAAGGGATTAAATCAAATAGGTGAATGAATGTTATTACGATGTCATCGATGACATAAGCAGATCAAGCTTATTCCGTGACATTCAAAATACCAGTTATATGACCAGTTAGGGTGACAGTGTTCCATGTGAGTACAATTTATTACCATTCATTCAAAGTAGAACTCATGTGAATGATATCTGATTCTTATTCCTCCACAAATGTTTGATATACAAACTGAATAGAGAAAAGTATCTTCTGTATAACTCAGTGTTCATATAGAAGTATTTGTTTCGAAAGATTTTTTTTCTTTCGTGTAATTCAATGTTTATATGACAGTAGCTGTTTCAGGAGGACATTCTTTCAGTTTGTGTCTGAAAGTTACTTCTTTGCATGATCTACACATCTATGTATAGCGTTACTTATTTTCAAATTGATTACTTCCTTCCTTTCTTTGGAAGATTCTCTCATCCATTTTTTTGTATCAGATGGAGTAGTAGAAAGCCAAAAACTTTCTTCACCGTTATAGTTATTGAATTAGCATAATAAAAACTACTCACCTGCCAGGAAAACAGCTCAAACAGGTACAAATTTGTGACGATTGCGAAAACCACGATGAACATGATTAAACAAGACGAAAACCCCTTGATTATCTTCGTCATGAAATGAGCCACTCTTTTCATGTACCTCTGTATGAAATACCCTATAGCCAATGGTACCACCAATGCTATGACATAGGTCATGATCTCCATGTAGGGCACTTTGAGCCTAGCGTTTTGAAAAATAACCCTACCGAGCGTGAAAAGCCACAGGGGCATCATGGCGAAGGCCGATATGGTACTTATGGTAGTCATTATTATAGAGAGATTCAAGTTTCCTTCGAGCAGGACTGCCCAAACGTTTGAAGCCCCTCCAGCGGGGGATACCCCTGTGAAAAACATACCTAGCTGCATTTCGGGGTTTTGCGGAAAGAGTATCAATCCAAGTACGTAACTTAACTGAAAAACAAAAAATAAGTTACTGCAAAAAATTTGTCAATGATTTTATACTGATTTTATATTGATAGTAATGATTTATTCTCAAAAAACATTACATGGAATTTCATTTGTAGATTCTTTCTAGTGAAGAGTTGAGAATTGCTCGGTGGTCATCTCGAATATGTAGAGGAGTTGTTTTCAACAATAAATATTTTGTTTTGGAAAATTCATTGATGATTTGGCCCGTTAGTTATCTGTCATATATTTTCTTATTATTTTCTTTTAGTATGGAAAACGGAATTAACAACTAAAAAAGAATACTTAGTGCTCTTTGCCAAAGCGTTCATTATGCATATGAACGAAATTGAAAAATCAACTATCTACAATTGTATGTAGAGAAAAGGGGAGAATTACCCAATACCATTCCCAGGGTGGGTTAGGAAACCTATTAACGAAGAACAGTCATTTAAAATTTCTTGGTTAGATCAATTTCAGCGTAGATCAAAATCAAATGTTTGCAAATGTATCGCTCAAAAAAAATTAATCAATCTTTTTTTTTTCATACAAAAAAAAACCAAAAGAATGGATAAGAAAAAGTTGATACAAACTAAAAAATAAATTTATCTATAAATAGGGACTCTTTAAATAATGTTCTGTTGTCTTTGAAATCAGTTGTTTTTATTTGTTTCATTGACTCTATAGTAAGTACAGAATTATCTTGGTAAAACTTTTTTATTTTATTTATGAGAAATGTTTATAAGAACACGTTCGAAATTAACATTCTGTACACATTTTATAAATAAACTCATCATCATTATTATTACTATTTTTTTCTAAGGTTGCGCTGGTCGGGCCTTATCCCCCGAAGCCCCGATACATTCGGGAGAGCATACCAGCTTTATCAACCAATGACCACTCCCTACACCGTGGGATAAATGATCATTGACAGCCAAGAATGACAGCCTTGTGCCTCAGTACGGTGGGCTGGGACATTATCTTCAGATTCGAGAGTAGAGAGGGCATTATCCCAACAAGGACTCCAATAATCAAAACAACCATTTTGACTGAGTGGTCTGAATAATAGAAGCTGTTGCCTTTCCTCTTCTTTTGGACGATATTCGTCTCGCCAGAGCTTGACAAATATCGTCTTTCTCTGACGATCGAGGAGAATTACATCAGTTTGTAGGTATGAGCCTGAGGATGAGGAATGATTAGTTCCAATAAACCACTCGACCTGAGGGAAGCAAAGGTCAGGTGCTTTGGTGAGCCGACGTATTCAATGATGTTGAAGAAGATTCCATGTGTTGGCTTGTCCTTGTGTTGGCGCAGGAGTAAAGTAATCTCTGCGGTTTTTATGTAGTCATTTTGGCTAAAACGGAATCGAGTTTATAAGCCGGTCTGACAGCTGCGCTAAAGAAAAATGCTTCAATTCCTGCTCTCTCTCTCTCATGGTTGCGGATTATGCATAGCATTATAATAATGATAACAATAATAATGATGGCTTTTATTGATGGTTCCATACAATTACAACCAATCAAATGGCAGGATTCAATATCTGCGTATGATAAATCATCGCAGAGATTGCTCTTCCATCCAACCATAGGAACAAAAAAAAAAGAGAAAAAAAAAGTATGCTATCAAGAACAGTACAACAAGTATATACAGCGAAATTGAAATACAAAATATATATATTTTGTTGAGTTTGGAGAAAGGTAGACTGATTTTGACATATGTAATTCGATTATTTGGATCTATTTATTGTGAGAAGATATCTTTCTTTTGAAGCTTCCTAATGGCAGATGTTTATATTCAATAGGTATCCGATTATATTATTAGGCAATATGGTAAGTAAAAGATCCGCAAAATAGAGAAGTTTTATGTTGTGGTATTGTTAAATGTGTCCTGAATCTCAAGTTAAGATGGTGTACGTCACAGTTCTAAAGGATATTTCATTATTATTATTATCTTTATATTCGGTTATTAGTGTTCTTTCTCTTTCAATTTCATACAGACCATCGTTTCCTATTGTCGTGTAGAATTACGCTCTATGTAAAACGAAATGAACTCTTACCATAGGCATAACAAAGAAATGCCCGAAAAATCCGATGGAAGGTCCTACGGGTCTCTTCAATATATTCCGCAGCTCTCCCCAGTCTATGGCACATCCGAAATTGATATACAGGATGCTGACGAGAGTAGCAACAGAAGCCGTGAAAATGGTATCGATAATTCGTTTTTTACGAACAACTATGACGTCAAGTTGCCCTTCAGCAACTTTCTTCGTTTTGACACCTCTGCATTTCACCAGAGAACCACCTATACGACAATGAAATATGAATGATGCAAAATAATCTTGAAAACGTAGATACAGTTGGGACAATGAAAAAATACACATGCATCATCAATGAAACACGCGATTAAACACATACTTTTATGCAGCATCATTTTCTTCTACAAGTGAAAACCTTAGTCAAAATGGTCAACATTTTCGTTTTGTTAAAAATAGAAAACTCATCTCTTGTTGGGATGATAACTTGCATTGAGTACCTACATCGAAGAGAGAAATATATGGACATGAGTCATGGACAATTTCTTAGACTGATGACGTATTAGTAGCGTTCGACAGTTTTTCCCCGTGGGTTCACCAATAATTGACTACACTAAATAATCAAACTTAACTTTATTTCACTTTAAATACAACAAACACTTAACTATTAGTTGAATGTCTATCGCGTTACTAGATCACTTCGCGTACCGCACTGTAACGTCCACTTGACTGTGTCGATTTCCTCGTGGATAGCCTTCAAATATCGTAATCGAATGTCGTAGAAATTTTGCCAAAGTTCCGTCGAAATCGGTAGCATTATTCTCGCTGCTTCTAAAATGGCGGGGAATCATCGTACATTCGCGCGCTCTTAGCTACGTCACGTTTGGTTTATAGTTACCAGTGGCGGCCGGCGTTATTTTCTTTCGGGCATGATTTAGAACATTTTTAAGGAATGACGCATGTGTCATTGTCCCAACTGTAGCTGAGAAAGTTACAAACTTACCCAAGAAATTTGCAGTTATATTGAAAGACCCTGTCAAATTATGAGAGCTCGATATGATAAATTCTTTATCCAGTGATGCCACATGTTCGTTGTCACTGTAAAGTAAACAGCTTGTCTCATCTGCAATGGAATTGAAATAATGGTAAAGAACTCATTTTGTCATAAAAAAATTTAGCAGTTCAAAAGATACAGAAATGTCTGACATTGCATCCATTGTTTGTTAATTATATATTTGGTTTTTTAATATGAATAATTACATTTGTGGATAGTTCTTTCATTTTTTTATTTTATTTTTTAATTTCAATGCATATTTAATAAGGAATAACACTTCCAAAATACAAATCATGAAATTATAAAACAACAACAAAAATTTATTGGCGCTCCGGGGCGACTTCATTGATTCCAGTGGCACAATTGCTTTTTCAGCTGCAGGAAAACCCGGAAAAACCTGCAGCACCACATCATCTAAAGATTTCGATCTGCCAATGCGAATATCGTCAAACTTAAACCAGGGAGTGCTATCTGTTTTTTGGGAGTTTATTTTGGAAAAAATAGTTCAAGGAAAAAAGTTCTACCACTTTTCTCACTGTTCTGGCGGTGATGGCATTTTTTCCCAGAAACTAGTATTCCCACACATGTGAATTACATGAAAAGCATATTTCTACAGTAAACCTTTTGTGTATAGCTTGTAATGAAAATCCTCTGTTGTAATTGTAGTCTTTGAAATAGTTAGATTATCACATACATACCTGGGGGAAAATCAGTTATTTCATATTGTATTTCCGCTTTGCTATACATATGTACAGTAGTTGAATTTGGGTTGAATTTGACACTGAAACTCCTGACAACCACAGCATGGCACATGAGAAGTAGAGTCACCAAGACTATCAAAAATTGTACAAGACCTGATATGGGGCACATCTGAAACCAAAATTTATGCATAAAATATATTTGAGACGTGAATAATTATTTTTTATTCATATACATGAAAAAATATTGAAAATCGTCTAATATACACTTTCTGATTGATACAAAGACTGAAGAATTGGCGAGTTGTATCGGATAATTTTTACTAACCGAGTTTTATGATTGGCTGAAGAGTCATAAAATTGAATTTAAAGTCATCATACGGTGACGAATAGATATCGGGGAATGCGGGGATGGTTATCGCCGTCGTGTTCAGTTTAGAAACTGATCACGATTTGAGTTTTGAAATACGATATTAGTGCGGTTATAATTACTGAACAATTTTGTTATCTGTTCAAAATGTGGCGTCCTTGAACAAGTACTAATAGTAATAACGAATGTGAAAACAACGCAGACTTTTTCCAGTTTAGTGATTCCAATAGCGATGGTGAACAATGCAAAAAAGAGATAACAGTGAATACGATTGGGATGCATCTGAATATTGAAACACAGAGAGTCTGTTTCAATGTATACCTATAAGAATCTACATCTCAAGTTTGGTTTCGAGGGAAACAAACTATTTACAAGCAACATCAGATTTGACCGAAATTACTTTCTCAACTGTACGTAAAATAGTCAAAAACAAACCTTTTGAATGCAAGACGCGATGTGATATAGGATTACCAAAACCTTTAGATGTTCATCTAATAAAATCATTGGAATGAACAATATACGACTGTTACGAAAGCAATGAGATTCCTGCACTAGGATTTAGATTTAGAATAATAAACAAACGTCAAGCAGTTATGGAAAGCAGAAGAATAATGGAATTGCGTAACAAATACTCAGAACAAATAACTAAATATAGACAAGAACAACGGCAAATTTTCTATTTGGACGAATCTTGGTATGACACTTGCGACACAGTTACGAAAGGGTGGACTGATGGTTCGAGAATGTGTACGCCTCAGTGAAAGTGAAGAGGAAGTGAAGGATGGGTTCAGAATTCTTTGAAATTGTGTGGCAAAAAACTTGAGGACAGCAATATTGACTATCATAAGAACATGGAAGCTAATACTTTCGAGGAATGGTTTGAAAACACATTGATCCCAAATTTGGATGCGAATAGTGTAATAGTTCTTGACAACGCTTCCTATCATTTGCGACAAGTACCGAATAAAAATTTGAGGAAAGATGAAATACAAAGTTTTTTAATGGATATTTGAAGATTACTATACTAAAAACCAACTATTTGAAGTTTTACAGAAATCTGAGATGATGGCGAAACGTCGACTATCGAATAGTACACAACGGATGAACACCCGGAAAAACAACATGAAAAGAGGTTTACCTCTTGTTGGTCGTTCAATGGGAAATTTGAATGTTTGCCCTTATTGATTTCCAGAAACTCCAGCAGTTTCAATTTATACAAAAAATAAAGGACAGGAATTGGCTGATGAAGACAATTCATCAGCCAAATCGTTATGCATTTGTTATGGAGTTTTTCTGAACAACTGATTAAACTCAATACTAAACTAATTGTACATTATGCATTTATTGATTATTAAAACAACCAAGAAACGTTCATGGTTAATAAAAAAAAACAGAGTTCAGTTATTACAATATAATCTTTGTTTTGTATGACTCACAGACATATATGAATTTTATTTGCAACAAAAATGAATTTTAATTGAAAATTTATAAAATTATTCACGTTAATATTGAAGAAGTTTCGTGAAAAGTGTATTCAAACTTACTTTCTTTAAAAAATAAATATTATTACATAGTTCAATTATTCAAAATGAACAGCTTGAAAACTTTATCTTAAATGTATAATTCCATATTTCAACTTTATCTTTCGGGACGAAAGTATTGATAAGAAAAATGATTGACATGGTAATGCAATCTGTAATCGCAAATACTATTGATTTGAATCGAGATGATTCGCGTCTCAATGAAACAATAATGAAGTGAAATGATTATCGTTATCTCAAAAATTGTGGTCACCATAGTTTTGCTACTCTCTGTTGATATATTTATAAAAATGAGGTTAAGTGTTTATATGTTGTTATGTAAACAACAAATATTTCAGTTTGTGACGTCACGTCATTTTCATTTGTTGTGATTGACTCACTGATATGAATACAAAATAAAAAAGTAATTATTATGATATGAAATGAAATTCAAACGAGAGTTTTCAGTAAGACTAGGAACAAAACTTTAGAAAAAAAAAATCAACTTTAAGGAAAAGATAATAAACGTTTACACAATATTCAAAGAAATGAAATAAATGAGTGAATAAAGAGTAGGTATTTAATGTAACATGGGCTATCACTACTCAGTTCATAGCTAAACAAATCTCACTAGGAACAATGAAACATAAATAGATTTTCCTCTTCTTATAATTGATTCTTCAAACCAAATATACACATCAAAATCACTGTCATCAACAATCACAACTTCCTGCTTCAGTAAATTACAACACTACCGCATATTGAGGCATTGTTTACTACAGTACAGAACATCTATAACATTGAAACACAATAAAAAATGAATGAAATAGAAACAAATAAAGTTTACTATTTTTCAGCATTGTCGCATGGAAGGATTTTTATAGTGAACTTGAACAGATTAAATTAAAAATTAATTAAAAGGTTATTAGTGTTTCACAAGACAGTGAACGTCTTGTGAAACAGGTCACGGTGATGGAAAAAACAATGAGCAAAACATTTGATCGAACTGGGCGTGCTTTTTTTGATCTTGGCTCTCCTGGACTATTCCAATGGGACGATTGGACATTGGTTTCGATGCAGTGGAATGCAAATTTATTGAATTTTTTACCTATGTTTCAGTGTTTTACTCAATACATTAGATATCAACTTTAATTCTACTAGGGTCACTGACTGAGGCCCCTGCAAGAGCGAGGCCCTGGGTGGTTGACCCGCTTGCCACCCCCTAAGGCCATCACTGCCCCTATTTAATAAGATCAACATTTCCATTATAGTTAATCAACCATTTACTTTTGCTCAGCAAGTGTGTAAGAGTTAGATAACAGATACACTAATAATTTTCTTCCATAATTTAAATGCTACTTTGTGAAAAACTGCCAGATTTTTCTTTTCATTTCAATCTTGAAACCACTTCAAATTGTTGAAATGTGAAAGTTTTCATTAAATTGGAGGTCACCCACTCGTGTGGGAAATATAATTGACAGAGAAGAATTTCTAACAATTCCCGTTCATTATCTTTAAAATACTTTCTGCAAAAATATCTAATATTTTTATTACTTCCTTGAAAACATGGCCAAACGTTTTTATTGATATTTGTGCTACCTCAACGAACATTTTTCTAGGAATCAAGACGGAGTAGTAGAAAGCCAAAAACTTTCTTTCCCAACGTTAATAAATACGTAGACAATTTGAATTAATGTTATAGTTCCTTGTATCATTCAAAGTACCAATTTTCTACAAAAACAAACGAATGGAAGAAATATTCGTTTTAACCCATAGAGATATGTTCAATAACAACTTCCTAATAATTTAGAGGGAACAACTTGAAGGCAGATACATATTTTTTTACAAAAACTTGAAGAGGAAATTTGTGTCACATATCCAATAGTACGTTAAGAGAGAAAATGCGTGTTTTTGAAGTGGTACTGAATAATTCAATTCAATTTTCAATTTATTCAATTCAGGTAACTGGAAATACGTTTTTACATTTTGTTTAATATGATTCCTCCATTGACAGTTTCAGTTAGGCAACTTAATGCCTGCCTTCTCAAAGATCTTTGAAGGATCATATTCCTATTCAAACAATATATCGTGGAGCAGAGATAATGTTTACAAAGTTTGGGATATCTTGAAAGGTTATCGAAATTCTGGAAAAAAGATGAAGTTAGACCTCATTATCCCGACATAGTCTGTTTATAAACAAGAAGAAGTTGATAGGTCTTAGGAATGATATTTCAAGAGAGACAGACCCAAGACGTATTATAAAGCTTCTACCACGTTCGTTGGTGTTATATTTGTTCTTTATTTCAATGCCTTATGACTGATTTTCACCAAACAGACAAAACCACAACAAAACAGCATATGTGTCGAATTCAACAACTTGAGTTGTCATAATGAGAAACATTTTCAAGACTGCATCGCGGGCGAATGTTTTTGTCAACAATGAAATATCCCGTAGGCAGGCGGAAAGATCAAAAGGTTTCGGTGTTTTACCTGTGTTTTTGTAAACTATAAGTTCGCGCTATGGAAACGGTCGGCGACATTATTAGTTTATTCAAAGTGTTAATTTATGGTGGGTATAACTTCGATTATCGGCTATTTTTATTGATTTGTTATATTGTTGTTTATTTCAAATAAGATAGAGATTCAATTTTTTATTGTTTCCTTACTCTTACATTGACGGTTGTCACAGTTATTGTGACAAGCAGAGATTCGTTGTTGTTTTACAGTTGATAGTAATTTTTCTTTATCGATTATTCATATTATGGTCAAATATATCTCTCTTCTACTGATGATGTTAGTGGTTCTAGTATAGACTAGGTTATTGTACAAAAAAGTATATTCTTGATAAATTTGCATTAATCGAATTTCAATTTTGTTCGCATTAACTGTAAGTATTACAGAATTCAATTTATATTTCACATTTTTTCATTTATTCCACTACCAATTATAGTATAGTATTTCCACTACCAATTGGAACACCCCATATAAGGAATTCCCGCCTCAACATAGGCGTCGGCATATTATCTTTCAGTGGTAGTTTTTCAGTTACTTATTCTTACAATCATAGCAATTGATAACCCCATGAAAAACTTATCTCAACTGAATTTTTCCACCATGGGTAATTATGGCAGGGTAGTTGATTTCCGAGTCGAAAACTCTAAAATACAAAGAAAACACAAATAATCATACTGAATTCTCGTCAGACATATATTTACAAAATAATAGAGGCCAACAAAATTGTTAGAAAAATCAAAATTTTTCTTCGCTATATTCGGATGAGGTGGAATCATCATTCTTGTCGGAGTTGAACAATGCGTGTCGATTCCATTATGACCATCCGATTGTACAATTTTTTATATTTGACAATAAGACACCTCGTAGAGTTTCTAAAGATTTGTAATTGTAATCGGGATAGTCGAGTAGTTATACCAAATCATTTCCAAGGTTGGTACTTCATTTTTTTGGTATATACCATTAATTGTTCGCCGAATCACATCTTTTGTAGCACCATCAACGTTTGCGAATTTTTTATTCCTTTGTTTTCGTTTCATTGCATGGTCAATGACATCCCCTATTTTAGTGACTCGAAGAACTGTCGAACGAGATAGTTTCGTTAACTCGCATATTCTATTCACAATAGCATTCTGTGAACTGTGACAGTTTTCCTTCTTTAATCTATTGTTGACAAATTAATTTGCAGGTAGTGGTTCCACTAGTTAATCACCGAATAATAAATTAGGATAATCATCATTTAATAAACAAAGTCCACATCGAACAAAAAAACTCTAGGTATATAAACAGCTAACTCTTGTCTTTAGATTCAGTATAAATTTGCTTCTCCTGAAGATGCTAATCTTGTTAGCGAAACGCGCGTCGAGTCCAACAATATCAGTTTGGTGTTAGGGTAATTGATCTCAAGAAAAAGTTTTCAAAAATCGGTTTGCAAAACCACTCACTACCTCACCTAACCCCACGAACACACGGCACTGATAAAGAAATATTGTGAAACGAACAAATAATTAGTATTCAGCCAGTCCAGCTGGCCGAGCCTTTATTCCTCAACTACATTTCATACCACGTTTACTAACTATCTGGGCGACTAGGGGCCACAGACAAGAAATGTTTATGACTGTACTCTTATTTTTATTGCCGTTCCAACTGGGAATGGATAGACTATACCTACTCCCAATAATACATAATTATATCAATTTGTTAGAATCTTCATTAATTTTATCTTGTAATTTGATAATGTGAGCTGTGTTACAGTAACCTTGTAAGGGGATGCTGTTTTTAACCGGTAGTGAGATAAACTCTGAACAGCTGAACGCTAGCAGCCTCAGGTTGAGGTGGAGTGCTATATATCTCAGCATCTCAAGAATGGTTGAATTTTGGTTTTATGAAGCAGGTTATCAGGATCGAAATTGTCAGCATTCCAAATTTCTGAAAAGCTGCTTCTGCTAGAAGTACGAGTAAGATGGCAAATAAATGTACACATCCAGTGTATGTACACACTTACAATTTCTAAGAAAATCTCTTGTTTTAGCCATTCTTGTTTGAGCTATCTAAATATTTCTGTGTTTTATATGTAACCTGTTCTTCCAAGATAAATCTTCCAAATAACTATAGACCAGTCGCTTTGCTATCAGTAATATCAAAAATCATGGAGAAAGCCGTAAACCACCATAATAAATATTCGGTAGACTTCAACGTCTTGAGCGATCATCAATGTGAAACAAAGAAACAAAGATCAACAGGCGACTGTCTATCGTATGTCACCCATATTTGTAATAATGGAGAAACATGGAGAGTCAAGAGCTGTTGCGCTTGATATTTCTAATGCTTTTGACTGCGTGTGGTATCGTGTGGTATGAGGGTTTGCTGGCCAAACTATGGTCACTATGGTTTGTCGGATCATTTTGGTGTATGGCTCTCCAGCTTCCTGAAAGAGCGTTCCCTGCAAGTGACCGTCGATGGATATCTCTCGAATACTTTTACTATCAACGCTGTTCCTCAGGGATCCATGTTGCCTTCAACCCTATCTTTATTGTATATCAACGACTTATTGGAAAAAACCAAGAATCCAATATATTGCTTTGCTGACGACAGCACACTTGCCTCGTCATTCCATTTGGATTCCAGGACATTCAAATCAAACGTGAATCGCTATTTTCACACAGGCACCGCTCTCAGAGCGCTTCAAGGATTTTTCTGTAGTATTTGTGTTTTATCCTTAAAAAATTTAATGTAATTGGCTGAGAGTAGATAAAAGTCCATAACATCCAAAATTACTAATATAGTTTATTGTGATTTCTATGGAAGGTTTACAAAGGCGCAGTCCTGCTAAAGGGAGCTACATTATACCAAAACACCTGTCGCAGTTTCGTATGCCTCTCATAGTTAAAATCACAAATTATATTAGTGAGTTTTTCTTCCTATCTTAGGTTATTTGCTTTTAGCGTTTTGTGTAGAAAATATAGACGTTTATAACGTCTGAATTTTAATTGCCACTCCTCTGTATGCAGTGCAGTATTGAAAATCAAAATTGAAAGACTGGAAAATTTTGTAGTGTCGTCTCCGTCTTTTCCAAAGCATCGTTGATGTAAAATAAAAGGCATATGGGTGGGTAGGGTAGGTATAAATTGAATGGGTCTACTCAACCCTTTACTTCAACCCGTGAGGGTTTATTGTGGTTCAGACCTATTCAAAACTCTACCAAACGGGCCCAGCTTCTCAACGAAGCCGATTGATTTTTGCAGATCAGCTTGCAAGAGTGAGACTTTGTCCACTCCAAGGTTGACAGACCATGGTACATATTCCTCAGTCTAGTAAATACCTAAGCCACAAAAGTGTGGCTTTGGAAGTGAGTCCCCTGTGACCCATTTCAAGGAGTCATCTTCCCATGGTTGCAGGATACTAACTGCAGCCACCATACAGAGTACGTGTTCCTGATCCTATTAGGTAACTTAGGCCTATCCAGGCCGGATTGTGGAGCCCTGGAATTGTATTGTGTCAGAAATTTCTTCTTCGGCAGCCATAACTGAGGAGATTCCAGTTGATTGGTCAATATTCAGGTTATTGGATGTGTAAGGTGCACCGTTCCACCTTAATAACCGCAACAACCTCCCCACATGATGACATCTGTGAGTAAGCTATACCTGACGATACATAAGACTCAGCCATACAGGGCTTTTGCTGATGAAGATTCTGCTTCTGCTGCTAAAGAATTTGGTGAAACGCAACAACCTCCCCACACGAGGACATCTGTGAGTCAGCTATACCAGGCGATATATTAGACTTAGCCATACAGGGCTTTTGATGCATTGCTAATGAAGATTCTACTTCTGCTGTTCAAGAATTTGGTGAAATGAAGATTTATAAGATATATTGCTCTGATGTCTGTACCATCTAGCTTCTTAGGTTTGTTAACAGGATCAGGAGTTGAAGAACAGAAGCACTTGCTCTTGGTTCAATGTAATAGGAACAATACTTAGGGTCGTTTAGCCGCGTTCCATCTATTTTGTAGACTCAAGGTTGGATTGTTTAGTTACTTCAGAGTCTATAAAGGGTCTCAGAAGCGGCCCACTGAGTGGGCTCCGAGTTATACATCCTTTTGGCACGAATGGCACCTTGAGTTGGGGCTATCATTCAGGAGGATTTTTATCTCTACATCACCCAGCAGGGGTGACACATCCCTGTCTATTAATGTTGATTCCAGTGTTATAGAAAAAAATTTCCAAGACAGGGGAAGCTGTCGAAAAAAGCATAATGAAATGACTGCTGAATATCAACGCAACTGCTTCAGACTCTTAGAGTGTCTCAATTGAGCAACATCATTGGACAAATAGCATTTCTGTTGAGATAACGTAATGGATTTTGAAAATCTGAGGCGAGAAACCATAGAAGAGGTCAAAATATTACAAAAAATTACTCACCATTTTGCCAGTTTCTTCCCTGATTGCACAAATCACAGTATTTGGTAAAAGAAGAAAAGCTCAATATATACGTAAATATCAAATTAATTTTTTTTCGAGTATTCCTATCAAGTTGTTTACCGCTGTTCGGGAAAAACACAGGAAACCACACGAAAGTTTACGTTGAAATCGGAAAAGATAGTATGTTTTCACAGTTGGAAAGCAATGATACTGCTCAAACCGCAATCAAAATATTAGTGTTGCTTCAAAACCGATCGGGAGAGAGAATCGACAAAATTAAAATTTAAAATTAAATCAACTGCATATTAAACGACAAACTGACGGGTCACTTCGATACGAAATCGGGGGAATTGAACGATTTGAATATTGTAACCAGGTGAAACGAGAAATATTTATGTTTCAATAGAGAAGTTACGATGACTTTTAGAAATCTGTGACTGCGTTTCATCAATGTGAAAACTCCATTATCATTTATCTTTGCAACAAGTTTGATATATCAAGATGTAGAAATATTTACGATGGTTCAAAACGCAGAAAACATTGGGCAAAATAGGCTAAGCCTTTTTAAAATATGTATATGATTTCATTGAAAAACTTATGCATTGGTTTTCACGTTTATCTGTAATTTTTCCAGATCTGTTTAAAATATGTTTTTCCGTTAACCCAGCTGTCGCACCCGCATGAACGACCACCCTCATCGAAACTTGTGCGAGCTAAGGACTAACGAGGTCTTACCTTTAAACGTGTGATTCCTAACACGGGTTGGACGATAGCAAGTGGAAATCGAATATTGGTCTCTTTTTCGAAGTGAAACATCAAGAAATACATGTGTTGTTGTTTTAAATTTCCCGAAGAGTCCGATTGTCAATGTTTTATGTTCAGATGAATTCATTATTAATTTTCTCTTTGGCAGCCGTTAAGATAGATGTATTTTCAAGAGCTCGGCGATTTTCGTTTCTTAAAACGAGATGGATCCAAGAATTTGTATCAAATTTTGCGTAGAGAATAAAATAAAATATAATAGAGTATAGTATGAGCGTTTTCCAAATAGCCGTGAAAACGTTGAAGATGACGCCACTCCAGCACAACATAAATCGATGAAAACGTGAGAAAAGTGAATCGTTGATCGTCGAATCGCAATCAGAGGCGTCGCAAGTCAGCCCATGTTTTTTTTCGAATTATTTGGGTATGAAAACCATGGCAGGTAAACTGTTGAATAGTTTCTCAGGAGTCACTGAATGAAGTCAACGACGATGCATACGAGTAATTACTGAAAAGTGCTATAAGAGGTGACGAAACGAACCTTGGTTTTCGAATATGACGTAGAAACTAAGACTCAATCGTCACAGTGGGTGCTTTCTGGCTCGCCAAGATAAAAAACGTCATGTATGTAATTTTTTCCAACCTGATAAAGTCAAACTCGGGAAGTATCAAGCAAGCCATTTTATCTCACACCAAAAAGTGGAACTAGATGGGCTGAAAAGTTCGTAGAGTAACACACAGATGGCGCTACTAGTAAATCCATACAAGTTTTAGTTAACCCTAACGCTCAAAAGAAACGTGTACAAATTTCACAGCTGTCGGACTAGTAGTTTATGGGATAGATTATTTTGCGTGAAGCAACTTTTGTTAGTTTGGAGAAAATGGATAGAAACATTTCGTGTGTTGATAAAGCATTGCTTTTTGGCGAAAAAAATACTGTTGAAGCCAAGACTTAGCTCGGATTTTGCACCAGAAAAATCAATCTTTGAGGAGTGGTTTGCTGAGTTTAAAAAAGGTGAAATGAGCACCGAAAACGACGCCCCAAAGAGGCTGTTACCGACGAATCCATCAAAAAAGTCCACAAAATAAATTTGGATGAATGCAAAATGGAAGTTGATCGAGTAGCTGAGGCTCTTGAGATATCAAAAGAACGTGTTGGACATATTTTACATGAATATTTGGGTATGCGAAAGCTCTGTTCAAAGTGGGAGCCGCGCGAGCTTACAATCGACTAAATACAACAACGAATTGATGATTCTGAGCAGTATTAAGCTGTTCCACCATGAAAAACCCGAATGTATGCATCGAAATATGACAAAGGATGAAACATGGCTCCATCATTTCGTACCGGAATAAAAACGATCGTCATCTGAATGGACTGCACATGGTAAACCGACTCCAAAGCGTGAAAAGACGCCAGCACAGTCGACTGGCAAGTTTATGGTATCAGTATTTTGGGGTGATGGTATAATATCAATCGACTGTCTTGAAAAGAAAAAACCAACAGCGATTATTACATAACGTTACTGGAGCATTTGAATGACGAAATCATGAGAGAACGGCCCCATTTAAAGAAAAAGAAACTACTGTTTCGTCAAGTCAATGCACCGTGTCACAAATACATGAAAACTATGGCAAAATTGCATCATGAATGGGGCTTCGAATTGCTTTCGCATCCACCTCATTCTCCAGATCTGGCCCCTAGCGATTTTTTCCTGTTATCAGACCTCAAGAGAATGCTCACTGGAAAGAAATTAGGAGCCTATGAAGAGGTAATCGTCGTGTATGGCTCTCCAGCTTCCTGAAAGGACGTTCCCTCGAAGTAGCCGTCGATGGATATACCTCGAATACTTTTACCATCAACGCTGGTGTTCCCCAGGGATCCATATTGTATATCAACGACTTATTGGAAAAAATTAAGAATCCAATATATTGCTTTGCTGACGACAGCACACTTGTCTCGTCAATCCAGGTTCAATTCAAAGCCACAAAAACCCAGGCATCGATTTTCTCCAAGATAAATGTCTCCGAACCAGATATAATATTGTCAAGACAGACAATTCCGCTTTCTGCTTAGATAACTTTGTTGACACCAATATGTCTTGGCATAATCATGTCGCTGGAATTGCAAAGGCTGCTTCTCATAAGCTTGGAACACTGTTCCGAACCGAAAACTGTACACACTTCAGCAACTTTTGATGCTTTATAAAGCCCATATCAGACCTTCTTTGGAGTATTGTTCTCATGTATGGAGCTCTGCCCCCAAGCATACCCTGAAGCTGCTGGATTCCATCCAGAAAAGAGCCATCCACCTGATTGGAGACGCGAACATCACTTGCAACCTTGATAGTCTGGAACATCGAAGAAAGGTTGGAGATTTGTCTCTCTACATTCACGGGAAATGTTCAAGTGACTTGGCACATTTGATTCCACCAAGAGCGGTATATATCAGAAATACTACTCATCGTTTTGAGATTCAACTCAGTACACCTCGAACTTCACTGTTTAAAAACTTTTATTTGGAGAACTGCCTTCATGTGGAATACATTTTTCGAAAACGTTATTCCAAATGGATTTAATTTCCAGCGATTCAAATCCAATGTCAATCGCTACTTTCGCACAGGCACCGCTCGTAGAGCGCCTTAAGGATTTTCTTCAAGTGCCTGTGTTTTGTCCTTGAAGAAAATAAGGCCTATTTTCAGGATAAAGACAAATCTAATATATAAAAATGGATGTTTGTTGGTTGGTTGGTTGGTTGGTATGTGATAAACTTCTAAATCGCTCAACCGATCGTGATGAAACTTGACATGTATAAGTAATTTTTCATAGAGAAGGTTTTTAGGCTATCAATTTTTCTGTAACTCGCCACTAGATGGCGCTGTAGAACAATTTTTAAGCACTGTTCTATAACGCTGCGCACGCCTAAGTTCGTTGATTCTGATTCTGTCAAAACATTGAAACAGCAGCGATACAGCAACATAGTACTAGTTGTACTATAAAAATGATATCGAAAAATTTTATGACCGCCCCTCGAAGGGAGATACAACGATTATAGCGATCATAATAAAATAAAATTTAATAGAAATAATTTTTTCTATGTTAGCCTACGGACTTTTCCGTCCAACTGATATGTGATACTGATAGTCAACACAGAAATTATGTTATTTCGGTATATGAATCACGCGATGAAGATATTTCTCCAAATTGCAGGATTGAAAATACTACGTTTATGAGTGCATGTATGAGTGAGTAGTGTTTTTCGACCTTGAAATGAATTAAACGTACGATATGATACTTTAGGGCTTCGTTCCTCCATATTCATAGCGATAGGCAGACCGATGTCAAAAAACTTTGACCGTTTAACAACAATCAAAAGAAACATTAATTTTGTAATCCAAATTGAGTTTGTCTATGTTTTTATTTTCCAAGCTTTAAATTAAAATTTTTAAAACTCTTAGTTTTGAAAAATGTAATTTCATGTTTGTTTTATCGTTAGAGATTTTATTGGTAGTTGATTGTATAGCCAAAATATAATGTTTTATTTCTGTGTTATTTTCTGATTTCTACCCAACATGACATACTTCCATTCTGGAAATGCAAATGAATTAACGACAATTGAATGAAATGAAACCGTTTATAATTATAATATCAACACTTGTTCACAAAAAAGATTTATTATATGCAAGCGCTTTCGATAGCAGGCTGTGCTATCTTCATGGCTCTACTCAAACTGAACGTTTTATCTTCTTGTGTATTCTTTTACACGGTTAGAACGCCTTAGTTCAGGTATTTGCCCTCTCCTGTCACTCGGATGTCTCTTTAAATGTGTCTCGTGTTGGTATTTCTCTAGGTTCATTGTTTCTAGGAATGTGTATTTTATTGTGTAGTATATTGAATATTAGGTATTGTTGTGTATTGATTTGTATTTGTTCCTCTATAAGTGAATTATTACTTTTGAAATTACGGATGTTTAGATTTTCCCAGATGTTCATACAGTTTCCATTATGGACTTGTTTCATGAGTTTGATGTTGGCTGCAGGAAAGTTCTGTTTGTTTTGTATGGCGTGTGTTGCGAGGTTTGATTTATATGTGTTTGCGTTTATGTATGCTTTTTTGTGCGTATATTTGGATGAGTTTTTTCTTGGTTTGACCAATATAGAATTTGTTGCAAACCTCGCAACACACGCCATACAAAACAAACATAACTTTCCCCCACCAGAAATCATCAAACTCATAAAACAAGTCAATAAAGTAAATCGTATGGATATCTGGGAAAACCTAAACATCCATAAATTCAAAAGTCATAATTCACTTATCGAGGAACAAATACAAATCAATACACAATAAGACCTAACATTCAATATACTACACAATAAAATATAACGCAAGTACAGACAAATTTGAAGAAACATCAGGATGAAACGAGAGGACAAGTACCTGCACCAAGGCGTTCTAACTGTATAAAAGAACAAACAAGAATATAAAACGTTCATTTTGATAGCACAGCCTGCTATCGAAAGCGCTCGCATATAATAATTAGAAGTTTTTAAAGCGTCAAATCCTTTTTTTGAACAAGTGTTAATATTAAAATACTGAAAATAAAAGAAAACTAGTTGCATCAATCAAAATTATAATATTTTTGAAACATATTCCACCTCACCTT